CGGCGTGGTGGTCGGGCGGGCATGGGGGGCGGCTTCAATGGCGGTGGCTTCCCTGCCGCCACGAATGGAGCGCCCGCCACAGCTGGCCCTACCAATCGTGTTTACGTCGGCAATCTGCCCTGGCAGACATCGTGGCAAGACCTCAAGGACCACATGCGCAAGGCCGGCAACGTCACGAGGGCTGATGTCTTCATCGATGAGACTGGCCGCTCCAAGGGATGCGGGTGCGGCGGACGCCCTCTTGTAAATGCATAGTGTGCCGCGGTCTGATCGTGCTTGCATCGATGCAGAATCGTCGAGTACTCCACACCCGAGGAAGCTCAGAATGCCATCAAGACGCTGAACGATACCAAACTCGACGAAACTGAGCGCCTCATCTTTGTGCGCGAGGTATTACCCCCCCCCCACAAACGGTCGCCTCTTTTTCGGGGGTATGGACAATTGCGTGTGGCGCTGTTGCTCAACTGCTCGTTCGCCGCACACCTAGGACCGAGAGGAGCGCGCCTTCACGCCGGCAGTCGTGCCCCGCGGCGGCGGCGGTCTGGGGCGAGGTATGGTCCGTGGAGGCCGTGGAGGCCGTGGAGGCTTCAACCCTCACCCTCATCCTCACCCTCATCCTCATCCTGGTATGGGTCGTGGCGGTTTCGTGCCTCCGGCTCCTTCGGCTCGCGGGCGTCAGGTCTTCATCGGCAACGTACGCACTAGCGTCATGGCTTGTTCCCGTTCTGGTGATGACGTTCTGACGTCCCCCTCTCCCCTTCCCCAGCTGCCCTACACTACCTCGTGGCAGGACCTGAAGGATCGGTTCAGGCAGGCCGGCAACATCATCAGAGCCGATGTCCTGCTGGACACCACTGGAAGGTCCAAGGGCCAGGGCACCGTTCTCTTCGAGAGTCCCGGTGACGCTCAGAAGGCTATCCGTATGCCACTTCTTCTCCTCCTCCTCACCTGCACCAAACATCACTCACTCTCAACGCGATGTCCTTGCGTGCAGGCATGTTTGACAACACCGACTTCCAGCAGCGCATCATCACCGTGCACGAGGACAAGTTTGCGCAGTGATGACGAAGGTTCATTCACGCGCAAGACATCAAGGCATGCGGAAAAAACTGTGAATGTGGAGGAGGCGAAGGATGAGAAGACGCGGAGGCCATAGTGACGGACCGGCCTGTGCTTGCAGGAGGAAATGAAGACAGACATGTTGTGTTATGTAAAACTGTGCTGCCTGCGTCCCAAGATCGCCAGCTTTGCCTTGTTGCCTTCTGCCCGACAACCCCATCTGACTAGTCTGGTGTTGGAGGTGGTCGAACGACAACTGTTCGGTGGCGAAGCAAAAGGGGGGAAGGTCAGGAGTGTGTAGGGCCTGGGTGAGTGGTTGATGGCGCATCACGCGGGTGTGTGATGGCCGCGGGCGGAGGTCCCATTATGCAGCGGGCATGTCCGACCGCGAGCGCGGGTATGTAGGAAGTACCCTCCTCTGGTGAAGGAGGATGCGGGTGATGGTTATTTATGAGGGAGGGCATCCCAAGCCTCCACTGGTTTTCGAAGGAAGCATGATGCGTGGGCATTCGGACCCACTGCTACAGCGATGCGTTGGGTAAAGTCGAAGTAGCATGAACGCATTTTTGCAACCCTCTTATCACCCTTGAAGGAGGTACCAGCGCACCTTTATCCTTCCCCACCCAACAAGAGTGTGCTGGAAGCTGTTTAGACAACTGGTGGGCGGCCAATGCAAGCCGCTTGTGGGATAAGCACAGAATTGACCAAGAACGACTGCGGTTAACAAATAAAACGAAAGCGAGAACCAAAACGGATCGAATCGAATCGAAACGAAAACGAAAACAAAACGGAAAAGCAAAAAAAAAGAAATTGAAATCAAAATCCAAAAACAAATCCTGCAGGGTCATGGAGGTGTGGAGGGTGGATCTTGAGGACGAAGATGACTTCGCTCCTCCAATGCCGAGCAAGAAGAGGAAGTCCACACAAGAGGAGGCACCAGAAAAACCGAAGCCAATAGCACAATCTCGTGGCGAAGTAGCACCGCTCCCATCTTCTCCACCAGCTGGTGGCTTGCCGGCTGTGGCAACCGCGAAGCGCGAAGGTCCCGCCAGCCTAGAAACGAGAGTGGAGGTCCTGGAGAAGACGGTAGCACAGCTGCGCGAGGACAAGGCCGCACTCAAGAAGCAAGTCGACGTCCTACTCGCCGCCAAGACGCAGCAAGACGCACGTTTGGCCAAACTTGAGCTGGCCCTTGCCAACCAAGGGGAGAAGGGACTGCCGTCAACGAAGCGCAGGATCAAGGACGAAGAAGAAGCGGACCAATTGCCGCACGTCGACGAAGGGGACGACGCCGAGTTGGCAGCCCTGCTGTGGCTCGAGGAGCAGGCGGCCCACGAAGCTGACCTTAGGGTATGTATGACGCCTCGAAGAGGAGGGAGTGAGCAAAGGGAGCACGGAATGCTGATCCCTCTCGTCGACAGGCCGACGTCGCCGAAGTGATCCAGATCGACGACGAAGACGAACCACCGACCGCTTCCAATGGTTCGTGCTTCCTCGTATAACGACTGGCAGGCTTCCAGCACACACCACATAGAAGCTCACTAACCACACCGTTCGTACACAGTGGTCGAGGAGTACCACGCGGGTGCCTCGAGTCAGAGCTCGGGCAACGAGTGGAAGAAGGCGTTCGAGTGGGAGGAGGCGATCAACCTCGCCAACACCGAGGTCTTCCACAACACGGCATTCCGAACGTCCCAGCGAGAGATCATCAATGCCACAATGGCCGGAAGGTTCGCGTTCCTTCGTTTCACCGCATTCGCCTGCTTTCTCTCATCACACTGTTTATGGTTGTTTGATGGTGTGTGTGTGTGTGTCTGGTGTGTGTCTGGTGTGTGTGTGTGTGTGTGTGTGTCCTACTCCAGAGATTGTTTTGTGTTGCATCCCACAGGAGCGGGAAAGAGCTTATGTTATCAGTTGCCTGCTGTCTGCGAGGATGGGACTACGCTCGTGGTGGCTCCGCTCATCTCGCTCATCCATGACCAAGTACTTCGCCCTCTTCCCCCCTTCCCCCCCCCGTCTGCACGCCCATGGGCGGAGATCTTCTTCGTGTACTGATTCTCGCCCCACACCACTCCACACGGCCAGGTGACTGCGCTCGGTGACTTGAACGTACCCGCCCGTTACTTGAGCTCCGAGTCAACAAAGACAGAAGCGAAGGCGATCGTTGCAGGTGAAAACTCACTTCTGCCTCTAATGAACCTCTCCCTGAGAGGGGAGTGTCGCTCACCAAATGGGCCTTGTGTGTGTTGTGTGTGTTGTGTGTGTGTGTTGTGTGTGTGTGTGTGTTGTGTGTGTGTGTGTGTGCGCGCGCGCGCGCGCAGACTTGGTAAGCGACAAGCCCACAACGAAACTTCTCTACGTAACGCCAGAGAAAGTGGCCCAGAGTAGCTCCCTGATTGAAGTGCTTCAGGTTCCTCTCCGGCCCAGCTTCTCCCTTTCCCTCTCGTAAACCTTCTTTGCTCACCACCAGCCTGCTGCCTTGTGGCCTGCGAAGAAAATGGACGCCAAAGGGAACCTGAAGGTACTTCGCCAATGACCCGTCCTCACCACCTGTTCTCGCCCTAAACTGTAGATTCAATTCTGGTCTGGCCTTCGGTGCAGCGAGTGGTGGTGGACGAGGCTCACTGCATTTCCCAATGGGGCCACGACTTCAGACCGGACTATTTGCGGCTAGAGCTTCTGCGCAAGTCGTTCCCTCACGTCCCCATCCTTGCTCATATCCTCTACTACCTTCTTTCTGTGTGTCGTGTGTGTCGTGTCGTGTGTCGTGTGTGTCGTGTGCGTGGTGTTCCTCCTTAACTCTTGGGCAATGACGGCGACGGCCACCTACAAAGTGCGACAGGACGTTCTGATCCGGATGGGCATGAAGAACGTCATCCTCTTCACGCAGAGCTTCAACCGCCACAACCTGCGCTACGAGGTGCGGGCCAAGAACAACAAATCGGTGGAGGACATGGCAGCGTTCATCACCAACAACTACGCTGGCGCGACGGGCATCATCTACTGTCTCTCCCGGAGCGAGTGCGAGCGAACGGCCGAGCAGCTCGCCGTACGTCCGGCATTCCCCCCATCACCTGTCTCCGTCCGACGCGCATAGCTAATCATCGCCACGTCTGCGCCGGCGACTATGACTACGCCTAGAATCAATGGGGAGTGTCGGCGACGTACTACCACGCCAGCTTGCTCGAGCAGGAGCGGAACCGAAGGCACAAGCTGTGGATGAAGGGACGCGTGCACGTCATGGTCGCCACGGTGGCGTTCGGCATCGGTGCGCCCCCGTCGCCCGCTCTTGCCGCTGGCGACCGACAAACCTCGTCTCACCAAACTACTCACAACCTGGGGCTGGACACAGGCATTGACAAGCCCAACGTGCGCTTCGTCATTCACACGACCATCCCCAAGTCGATCGAGGAGTACTACCAGGTTGGTGCGCCAGCGCATCAGGTGCTCGCGCCGAGTTCTGCGTGCCTTACATTCCATGGCGTGTGACTGCGCGGGCAGGAGTCGGGCCGCGCGGGGAGAGACGGGCAGCCTTCGCATTGCTTGCTCTACTACACGTTCGCCCCTCCGCCCCTCCTGCTGTACATGGGATCGGTTGGTTGATTTCGTTGGCTGCACCGGTCTCGTTGACACACGTGTGTGCGCAGGTACACCGACAAGCGGAGGGTGCAGGCGCTGGTGTCGGAGAACGTGGGCGCCGAAGGCCGGAGAACGAACGTGGAGAAGCTCCTCCAGCTGGTGGCCTTCTGTGAAAACATGTGCGACTGCCGCCGAGTGCAGCTTCTCAAGGTGAGCGCGCCCTTCTTCTTCTTCTTCTTTCCACAGTAGCTCTATGTCTGGCTTACGCTCTTCTCCACACCCTCTCTTCCTAGTACTTTGGAGAAACCTTCACGAAGGAGCAGTGCCAACAGAACTGCGACAACTGCCTGAACGAGAATGAGAACGAGTACGAGAGCGTCGACGTGACGAAGGAAGCACAGGATATCATCACCGCAGGTACGAGGTGCACTTGTCTGTACCTGTGTGTGTGTGTGTGTGTAATGTATTGGTGCATTTGCTGAAACTGCTCCACGTTTTTCTGCGACGACCAGTGCGAGAGATGGGCCGAGGCCACTCGATGACCGACCTGATGGACGTCTACAGAGGGTCCAAGAACAAGAGCGTGGTGGAGAAGAACCACCATCAAATCTCGGCCTACGCCTCAGGTTCGTTCGCTGTAGCTGGCGCGCGAATGTAAGCCAACATCTCACACGACACATACGCCAGGCAAGAGCCAGAACAAGGAACGCGCCGAGCGCATCGTGCGCTACATGACGATTCATAGCATTCTAGTCGAGGACGCCTTCTTCACGGGTCCCTATAGCAGCGTCACGGCCAAGATAACGGTATGAGGGTGAAGCTGAAGCCGCTCGAAACTGTTAGTTGACAGTGGTCATTGTCGCTGGTTGGTGCAGGTGGGACCCAAGGCGCGGCTGGTGACGGAGGGCAAGCTGCGGGTGCTGGTACCGATGCCACGCGACGGAGGGTCCACGGGCGGCAAGAAGAGGCGGAACTCGAAGGAACCCAGAAAACCTCGACGAGCCAGCAAGAAGACGAAACGCGAAGAGGAGGAGGAAGAAGAAGAGGAAGAATCCTGATTGGCCGTTCGCCCAAAGATAACGCCAATTTCCCGCCCGCCAATGTCCACGCTTTGCTACATTTATTTGGGGTCGTAACAGCGCAGCTAAGAAGCTTGGGGTAACGTTCTATTCTACTCACACTCAACCACACAACACAACAACTCAACCAATACCGCCAACAAAGCATGGAGCCTCAACAAGGACGACTCACGGCACAAAACCTGCAGCAACACCAGAAGCAGTTCAGGGAGCTTCGTCAGTTCGGGTGCCAATCGTGCAACCGGGCCTGGTGGAAGATCGTCTACGCGCCCAAGTTCGTCTCGTGCTGCCGCAAGTGCAAGGTCCGGTACGATGCCATTCCCGTCGAGTTGCAGCACGGTCGCGGCGTGTTCGACTGCCCGTGCGGGCACCGCTGGACCAACTGCAAGGCCAAGGGCCAGCTCGAGCAGGACTGCAAGCGATGCGGCCGCATGGTGCGCGTCACCTCGATCGGCCCGCCGCCCCGCACCCCTGGCCAGCGCCGCTCTGACAACCGGCACTCGTGTGAGGGATGCGCCACCGGGGCCTGCCGATTCCAGTTCGTGGCGAGCCAGAAGCATCAGTCCACGGGCAGCACCGTCTCGACGACCGCCTCGGTCGTCACCCTCGCCTCGTTGAACCCCGACGAGGGCATGGACCTCATCAACGCCGCCTTCCACCGGCTTGGCTTCGCCTCATAGACCAGCAGAACGGTGAAAAAACGAATAATAAATTATTATTGATGTCTGCTTACGGCGTGCAGGGGTGGTTGGTGAGGCAGTTGAGCTTCCTGCCCTCGGAGTGGTTGAGGTACAGGCAGTAGTACTGCATGGCCAGGTACTCCTCGCACACTGTGAACCAACCGAGAGAGAAGAGTGAAGAGTGAGGAGCCATTCTCGACTCTGAGCTCAGAGGGCAAGGAAGGAGTACTCATGGGGCGCTCGGCGAACTCGGTATTGAGCCTGTTGGTCTGGTCCCAGGAGTAGTTCAGCCACTTCATGTAGTAGGCGCCCATGGTCTCGCCGGTCCTGTCACAGCCGCAGTCGCAGTGCCCGTACAGCACGACCGGCAGGGTCACTGCGCCACCCGCCAATCGTGAGAAACACCCACACACACACACACACACACAACACGACCGCTGTTGACGCACGGTTGGTGTAGAGCATCGAGCGCAGCTCCTCCATCCTGGTGACGAGCTGGTCGCCCTGCCACACCTTGAAGTTTTCGATCATGTACTGCTTGAGGCTCGCCGGCACCAGCGGGTCGCTGGCGTTGTCCCTCGTGCCGTGCGTTTCCCTGGGAAGCGTGTGAACATCATCGCGTTTGGTGAGCGGTGAGCGGTGAGCGGTGTGTGCGACGGAGATGGGAGAACAGGGTGGCGGCAGGCGCACCAGAAGATGAACTTGCCCAGGTGCGGGTTGGCGTTGAAGAAGGTCCACTCGGCGATGGTTCTGTGCGCATCGCCATCGGCCTCCAGGTTCGTCAAGCTGCAGAAGCAAAGGCGACGGAGCGAATCAGCAGGCGACCAGGTTCAACTCACGGATGGACGTTCCCCAAACGAAGTTAACTGTGTGGCTGGCGCGGGGGTGAAGGTACTTGATGTCGATGAGGTAGAACTTGGGCGGGAGAGCTACGTTGACACGCTCGGCAGCCAGCTGGATCGACTTGGTGAGGGCGTCATAGTCGAACGCGCCATGACGGCCGACGTTAGGGTCACCGCCCCGAAAGAGGAAACTGTGGAAACGACCGTGCACGGAGAGGAATGAGTGCTGGCGCTTGGAAAAAAAGAAGGGGGGACGGTACTTGCGGTGGTCGGGGGTTGCATCGACAAAGTGCACGTGGCGAACTGGGGGCGAGGGCAGAGCCTGGGGCCGAGCGGCAACGGCCACAACAGCAAGCGCTAGGATTAGACAGACGAGAGCGACGGGCTGCATCCTTTTCGCTCCGCACTGAACACGAACTACTCTAGCCCTCTCGTGCTGACTAACCAAATTACCGCAGCGCAGGATAAAAAGAAGATGTCGCCCCACCCAGATTTGAACTGGGGTCCCAGGTACCAGAAACCTATATGCTGCCAACTACACCATGAGGCGGACTTGTCGCATCGCGGCTCCCAGTTGCGTTCTGGCTCTGGACCATTCGGACCCTGCTCGCCCAGCCAATAAAAATTGGCCAGTGTGGGGATCGAACCCACGACCTTGGCGTTATTAGCACCACGCTCTACCAACTAAGCTAACCGGCCCTGCTTTGTGAACCCCTGATGCTGGTGAGGTGGTTCACCACCCAACGGGCTGGGCGGCAGATCGTGCCTCCTGGTTGGTTGTCGGCCGTTGGGTCCGAGGCCATGCCAAAGAAAAGTGATCGAAAACTGGTGCAGTGCACTCATACTCTCTTGCACGATGCAGCGAACGAGCAGCGTCGTGGCCCAGCCCACCTTGTACCTCTTCTTGATTTTACTCACCACTACTGTAACAGCGCTTGCCTCTGCACCTTTCGCCAGCCACAACGACACCACGCTTTTCGCGTACCCAGCAGCATCCAACGCAGAACTAGAAGATCCTCTCGCACTCATGGCCTCCAACGAGCAAGTAGAAGCTATCATCGCCAAGAAGGTGCCCGTCTCCAACACGCCTCGCGAGGGACAGACCAACGCCATCGAGAAGGAGGGATCCGGTGCTCCCCCGCCCACTGCGGCCAGGGCCGAGGGCGTAATCGACAACCTCCTCGACGTCATCTCCACCGGCGACCAGGCCAGGGGCGAGCAGTCCTTCGATAGCAAGAGCATGTTCTCCCTATTCAAGGGCGGATTGACGATCGCGCCCGATGCGGTCAAGGCGCTCGAGGAAGGCCTGCGCGCAAGGGGTGGTGGAGCTGGAGATCTAACGCTCGAAGAGGTGGAGAACACCAACGATCTGCCAGAGCATGTGCCTCTGACCCGCGGACCCGCGAGCTACTTTCTCCTGAAGAAGGGTGGCCAGCCCAACTCGTACCTGCGCATCGCCGACGGTGCCCCCTACGTCCTCTTCGTTCCTCTCCAGCCCCCTGCCGAATCGACCTTGAAGCCGGGTGTTCCCGCCCCTGTCCCCGTTCACCAGCAGAAGGAGAGGCAGGCCGCGGCCAAGGGCAGCCAGCCCGGTCCCGCCAAGCAGCAACTCTAAGCGCTCCTCATCCTCATCTTACCCTTGCTGTACATAATCAACCGACAACAGAGAAACAAGGAAAACGATTTTTTCATCACTTCTTCTTTTCTTCTGACGAGACGGGTCAAAAAGCCTCGCAGACAAGCACCTCAGGACTCAAGAAGAGAGTGGTGTAAATGTTCTGCTTGGGCAACACAGTGGCAATCATCCTGTGTGCATGCCTGAAGCAAGCCAGAGTTGTATTTACACCCGTTGCCGTAAACGCGGCCCGTCCTCCACCAAACTCGAACAAGTCTCTCCTCACGTGTCTCTAAAGGCAAAGGGCCAGATCTCTTCTCACCACTTTCCTCTTCGCTCCGTCTCTCGACTCGTCGTCCCCTCTTCCTATTTTACGTCTCGTTCCGCTCGCTCGTGTCATACACTCCGCACGACGCCGTCCATGTCACGCTTCGACGCGGCAGGAATCTTCGTGTGCAGGGATGCCGCGGCGTGTACCAGAGCGGGCACAATGGCCGAGGCGGGGATGGGCTGCATCGCGGGCGCGGCCTCGTGCCTGTCCATCAGATCGGCCAGGTCGAACTGGCCTTCTTCGAGGGCGTAGTCTCGCGCCGTCTTGCCGTCCAGCTACGGTTGTGACGGAAGAAAAGGAAAGTGAGTTCACACGTAACGAGGCAGCGACGGAGGCCGGGAGGTTTGCTTACGTCTCTTAGTGATCGGTTGGCGCCGCTGGAGAGAAGAAACGTCGCAATCTCGGCTCTGTTCTGGAGCTGAATGGACAGCGTGGCGAGATGGAGAGCAGTCTGCAAGAAGGAAAACAAGAAGTGAGATGAATGGCCAAAGGCTACCAAGGAGGTAAGAGGCGGCGGTGTACCCGTCCCAGTCGCTGTGGAGACAAAACACAATGTTCAAAACGAAGCAGCGAAGAAGAAACTGTTATCAGCAACGGCCAACCAACCAAGCGCAGGATTGACATGAGACGTACTGTTTGGCAGTCGATGTTGGCACCCACTTGCACGAGGAAGACGACCATGTCCTTGTGGCCGGCATACGCTGCTACATGAAGAGCCGTTTCCTTTCTCTGCTCGTGAGAGTCGTCACGCAAGGCGCAACAGAGCAAGGTTAGCCCTTTTGTTTCCTGTAACCGAAGCGATGGCCTCACGCGCATGCCTCACATCACCCACAACACGCGCGAAATGACCGGTGATAACAGGACGAACGCACAAAGAATGCGTGCAAAATTGTTGTCGACACATTTGTCGCACGCGTGGGCACAGAAACAAGTAAGGGGCGTGGCGTACGATGTCGTGCTGCGAGCCTAGGTCTGCTCCCTTCTGGATGGCGACGAAGGCGGCGTGCAGGTCGCCGTCCTTGGCGGCCTCGTAGAGGGAGAGGTCGACAGCCTCCTGATCTGGCGCCGTGTTCTCGCTGGACGTAGCGGTGTAGTGTTTGCTGGTGGTGTCCATCGACATGCTCATGGGCGTGCTCAACATGCTGCTCTGTTGTCGGTACTCTTCTTCTTCTCCTGAGCGTGGTGATGGTGTCGGTGGAAGTGAAAGTGTGGTGAGCTCACCGTGTTGTGAACGTTCAGCTTTTATACGCCGAGCGAGGGATAGACGTCAAAGCGTCACCAACCGTTCATGGTGTTGGGTAAAGCAGATAACGACAGGGCGGTGAAAACCACGAAGGAGGGTCAGGGGAAGAAGAGGGGAGGCACTCACTCTAAACGCTGCCTTTCCGTGGTCTGTCCGCTGATGATGGCACTTCGACGTCGGTTGTTTGTCTCGTCTTATGGAGGATGGTGTTAGTGGTGCTTCTCGTGTGTTCGCCCGCACAGCTCTGTCGCCACACAGCAATGGCGCGCGCCTCACCGGCAGCGGTTACCAAACCTGGATTTCGCCCGGTTTGTATTCCCGAAATCAGGAGCAACCACGAAAATCTGCCATGGAGATTTCTTGAGACGACCCCTATTGCACGCGTTCCACCAGTTTCAGAGCAGTTTTCGGCGTCACGCGCCCGGTGTACCCAAGAACGTGACCACGAGGCGATCGTTGAGGATCGTGCGTCAATCGAAACGCCCTACTGGACACCCCCGAAGTTCCATTTTCCCCGCCCGGTTTTACCCGAGCGCTTTTCTCTCTGGGCTTCGTTCTTTTCTCCTTCGCTTTCTCGTTTGCCTTTTCGTTTTCGTTTTTTAGTTTCGTTTTTTTTCCTTAATTTTCGCCCCCGACATGAGAGACCTGTCGGCTCTCGTTGTGGTCTTCGCGCTCATCGCGTGCGGGGCCTGCGGCACACCGGCGCGGGCGTCTGGGGCGCCCCTGGCTGGATTTTCCCTGCTGGCGCTCTCGGCCCAGCAAGGGTCCGCGCCCACCACCCCCGCATCGTCGGTCTGGCTCTTCGCCAGTGCGGCCACACTCGAAAAAGAACCCTACGCCATCATCCCCGTCCCGAACGCCGCCCTTCTCAACGGCTCCGCGGCCGCGCTGGCCATCGGCCCGAGCGTCAGTTCGTCTGCGCCGACCTCCGCCGCCGTCGTGCTCGGGCCACAAGCGCTCGCGGCGCTCACCTCGTCCCTCGGCGACTCCCAGTTCGAGCGCACGCTCGCTTCGGGCGACACAACGCTCTCCGATGTGGCCTACGTCGATGGCGATGGCAGCACCAGCGGCAGGGTGATCGCGCTGGGCGTGAAGGTGGGCAGTGGTGTCATTTTCCCGAACGAGGTGCGGTTCTTCACCTCGACCAACGGCGGCGGCGAGTGGAAGTCCCTGAACACGAGCACGCACACCCTCTACACCAACGGCTCGTTGACCTTCGTTCCTGGGTCGGCCACGGGCTATGCGTGTTCGTTCCTCCCTCCCATCTGGCGTGTGATCAATGATCGTTTTGTTGTCAAGCTTAGTGTGCGGATGGGCGCCGCACAACAGCGTCTGTGGCTGACCCGCTGCGCCATTGTGCGATGTGTGTGTGTGTGTGTGTGGTGTGCAGGCGTGGGCGGGCTCATCTTCAGGACGACAGATGGTGGTCAAACGTGGAAGCAGGTGGATTCGGCGACGCGAGTGTATAATCGGGTGGCAGTATTCAACACGTCCGTCGCGGTGGTGACGGGTCGCGCGCTGCTGGGCGGTGGGGCCATCATGTACGTTTCCATCAACGGAGGCGACAAGTGGAGCGCGGTTACGCCGCCTGCCATGACGTCGTCGTCGACCCAGATCGCGGGCATGGCGCTGCTCTCCAGCACCACGTGGGTTCTGGCCGCCGCCGACGGCTCGCTGTGGCGCACCGCCGATGGCTCCACGTGGACCAAGCTCATTACCACAGCGCCGGCGGACACGGCGTGGGCGGACATCGAAGTGAGCCGCCTGAGCGGGAGCGCGGTGGTGGTGGCCGTGGGCTCGTCGTTGGGGATGGGCGTTATTGCGTCGTCGACCGATCAAGGCCTGACGTGGGATATCGCCCTGCAGCCGGACGTCGCCTTCTTGAAGGTGGTGGCGGGCGTGCCCATGTTCCCGTCGCCGTCGCCGTCGCCCTCGCCCTCAGCTTCACGCTCGCCGTCTCCGACTCGCTCCCCTTCATCCACTCCCTCCCTCACCCCAACCCCTTCGCCCTCGACCTCTCCATCATCGTCACCGACACCATCTTCTTCGCCTTCCGTTTCGATCACACCGTCGCGCTCGCCTGCGCCTTCTTCATCGCCCTCCGCTTCGGTCACACCATCGGGTTCGCCGACGCCTACTGCTTCGGCGACCCGCTCGGCGTCGCCGTCCCTCTCACCCACACCTTCGCGCTCGGCTGCTCCTTCCATCTCCGCCACTGCAACGCCTTCGCGCACTTCCTCGCCTTCCGTATCAGTCACACCGACTCCGTCGCCATCACCCAAGAAGGACGCCGACTACGATCCCAAGTCGCTGATCGTGGGTCTGTGCGTCGGCATCGCCGGGTTCATCGTGCTGTTGGTCCTGCTTCTGCTGCTGGGCCTCAGCGTATGGCGCTGCTGGAAGCGAATGAAGGAACGCCGCGCAATCGTCGCTCTCAGCTCCGAAGACGAGAGACACCTCCTCATGCTCGAACTGTAAGATCGTTGTCCGCAATGTATTCCAGATACCAGACAGTGTGCCACAGGGGGCTGGGAAGGCACGAAAAGTTGGCTTGCCTGCGGTGGAGAGCAGCGGGTGTGGCAGGATCACGAAAACCAGCAATCAGCTCGCGTGGCCCAATGGAAAGGCGTCCGCCTCCTAAGCGGAAGATTGTGGGTTCGATCCCCACCGTGAGCGAGCCTGATCTTCTTTTGGCGTCGTCTACGTGCAGCGACGGGCTGGGTGCGTGTTTGTGCGTGAGGGGGACGGCGCGGCGAAACAGTGAAGCGTTGGTGGTATAGTGGCAGCATTGGTGCCTTCCAAGCACTAGACCCGGGTTCGATTCCCGGTCAACGCAACTCTTTTGTCTCCTAGGATCCTGTGGTTGCCTGCCTCACCCTGCTGTCATCAGAAAAGCCATTGTCCAAAGAAAAAATGGGCAACAAGTTGGTTATTATTGTTGTGGTAGGATAAAACCTGCACCTCTGGGCACAGTCACAGTTTGGATCCTGGTGGTTGTGTTTGTAACTGTGACACCACCCTCATGCCAACTGCCATCACACCAACCACACTCCCTCTTGCCAGTCTGATAGACCTCCAAGACCACCCAGACCACCTATTCTGTTGATTGTTGATAGGAGACCAAGACCATCAACCAAGTGTTCACAAAAAAGTGTCAGCAACTCTTTTTCACTAACTATTGGGCAGCATGTACAGATTGTCAGGCTGTAACACCAGTATCTGCACCCTCCAGAAACAGAATGGCGTCATCAGTAACAAAATCTGAGGAATGTGAACGGAAAATGTGTAGAAAATGCAAGAAAAGACCTTAAAAATGCACCAACCTCATGAAAAACAGCCAAATGGTGGCCTTTTATGTACAGATAGTTGATTTTTGTGCTAAGCAAAGAGGGTCACTGCCCCTATTTCATGAACACTTGGTTCATCACAATACTGGTGAAGGAGACTGGCAAGCCCACCAAGACTGCTGAAGACCACCAATACCATCAAAGGAGACTGCCAAGAACATTCATGAACAGGGGACACTGTACCTTTTTCATAAGGCCAAAAACAACAAATCTGTACAGAAGAATCTTGAAAACAGCCCAACACCTGGGTGGCTAATAGAATCATTGACTTATACCTCAAGTACCTCTACTCATCTGGTGGGCCTGGGAATGAGGATTACTGCTTATGGCTTGAGATGCATGGAATCTTGATTAGCTGCACTCCTGATGTCTTCTGCTATCTATGACCAATTGCCTACACAACATTTAACTCTGCTACTATTACCATTACTGGCCAAACCCCAGTGTGTGGGGAGCAGGGTCAGGGAACCAACCAGAAGATGAGACAAAAGAGTTGCGTTGACCGGGAATCGAACCCGGGTCTAGTGCTTGGAAGGCACCAATGCTGCCACTATACCACCAACGCTTCACTGTTTCGCCGCGCCGTCCCCCTCACGCACAAACACGCACCCAGCCCGTCGCTGCACGTAGACGACGCCAAAAGAAGATCAGGCTCGCTCACGGTGGGGATCGAACCCACAATCTTCCGCTTAGGAGGCGGACGCCTTTCCATTGGGCCACGCGAGCTGATTGCTGGTTTTCGTGATCCTGCCACACCCGCTGCTCTCGATCTAGCTTTCTTTGTCCGACCTGATGCAGCCACCTGCCCAGCCTTATCGACGGTAGGGAGTCGCCTTTGCGTTCGTGTTGTGCTGGCTTGTTGCTGATGACTGTCTCACCTTTCGTTGAAGTCCGTACGCACAGTTTGTGGACCGTAGGCTATTGGCTCCGGCGGAGGTTCCGGCTGCGGTCTTGTCTGCCGCGCCTCCGAGCTGAGTCTTTTTGGGGACACCCCACGCCGTTCACACCGCCACCGCAAACTCTAGAGATTAATCTGTGGAAAGAAATCTGTGAAGATGCAACAACCGATCGCACTGCAGGAGGGTGTGCACGGCGAGGTGGTGGCCATCCTCGACGCTGGATCGCAGTACGGCAAGCTCATCGATCGACGCCTGCGCGAGCTCAACATCGCCACGGTGCTGCTGCCGCTCGACACCCCGGTCGAAAGATTGGCGCACTTCAAGGCCATCGTAATCTCCGGTGGCCCCGACAGCGTCTACTCGCCCACCGCTCCGGCCTACGATCCTCGCCTGTTTGTCTACGAGTTTGATGATTCTTCGTCTTACAGACCTCCGATTTTGGGCATCTGCTACGGCATGCAGCTGATGAACCACATCTTCAAGGGCAAGGTGGAAAAGAAGGAGGCGCGCGAGGACGGCCAGTTCACCATCGAGATCGACACCACCTCGCCGCTTTTCGCCGGCCTGCAGGCCGAGGAGAAGGTGCTGCTCACCCACGGCGACTCGCTGGACGAGGCCGGCGTGGCGCCCGGGTTCCAGGTCATCGCCCGCTCCGGCGGCATCGTGGCCGGCATCCAGTCCGTCGAGCGCAAGCTCTACGGCCTCCAGTTCCACCCCGAAGGTGCGTGGCTGTCATGCGTGTGTCGTGCCGTGTTGCATGTGTCGGTCTGTGTCGTGTCGTGTCGTGTCGTGTCGTGTCGTGTCGTGCTCACGTTGACGCGGTGCAGTGGACCTGACCGAGAACGGGCGGCGCATACTGGAGAACTTTGTGGTGGGCATCGCCGGCGTGGCGCAGAGCTTCACGGTGGAGGACCGCCAGCAGAAGGCCATCGCCGAGATCCGACAGGCCGCGGGCGACGACAAGCACGTGCTGGCGCTGGTGAGCGGCGGCGTGGACTCGTCCGTGCTCGTGGCGCTGCTCCACCGCGCCCTGCCGGCCGACCGCATCACCGCCCTCCACGTGGACCACGGCTTCATGCGCAAGAACGAGAGCACGGGCGTGGTCGAAGCGCTCAAGGCGATCAACGTCGATCTGAAGGTCGTCAACGCCGCCGAGACCTTCGCCGCAGCCACCCAGCCGCCGCCCAAGGGCACCGGCAAGCGCCTCGACAGCTCCGTGGTTCGTTTATTCCCCGCAGCGAATGACTACGACACGCACACGCACACGCACACGCACACAACACTTCAGTGTAGAAGCTTTGCTGATGCGATGTCACACACTCGTACAGAACCCGGAGGAGAAGCGACAGATCATTGGCGACACGTTCATGACGGTGGCCGACGAGGCGGTGGCCGGGCTCAACCTGCCGGTGGACAAGGTGATCCTCGCCCAGGGCACGCTGCGGCCGGACCTCATCGAGAGCGCCTCCGGCATGGTGTCGGGCAAGGCCGCCGTGATCAAGACCCACCACAACGACACCCACCTCGTCCGCCGTCTGCGCGATCAGGGCCGAGTCGTCGAGCCGCTCAAGGTACCAACTCCTTTGCTCGTTTGCGTTTGCGTTTGCGTTTGGAAATACTGACGTGTTGATTTTCCACGGACTCAGGACTACCACAAGGACGAGGTCCGCGTGCTGGGCACCCTGCTGGGCCTCCCCGAGTCCTTGGTCTGGCGCCAGCCTTTCCCCGGACCCGGCCTCGCCGTGCGCATCCTCTGCACCGAGAAGCCCTACATCGGAACCGGTGAGCTGCTTTCCATGCGCGCCGTGCGTGTCGTGCGTGTCGTGCGTCGTGTTGCATGATGAAGCGTGTTACTGATTGGAGATGGGGCAGATGAGGAGTGGAATAAGGCGAAGAGCATGCTCCAGGCCATCCTCGAGTTCGACAAACTTCCGTCGGACAGCAGCGTGCAGGGGATGATCACCCGCGCCCTCCCGAGGCAGGCCAAGGACGCCGAGCGACTGCGCGACATTGCGGCCCGCGGCGACATCAAGGGCATGGTGCTTCCCATCCAATCGGTACCCTACCCTCGGCTCGTCGCACGACACACACACGACACACACACACACACACACACACGAGCGTTGCTGACCACCTCTTGGCCGACAGGTGGGCGTGCAAGGCGATGGACGCTCCTACTCGCATCCGGTCGCCCTTTTCCACGAAGGTGGTTCGGGTGACAAGAAGGGCAACGACCAGAAGAGCATTCCCTGGGGAGACCTCGCGTTCCTCGCCGCCATCATTCCCCGCTACGTGCATGGCGTCAACCGCGTGGTGCTCATGTTTGGCGCGAAGTATGTTTTCCCTCCGGGTCCACATGTTGTTACCTCATTCTCAATTTCATGGTAATGCGTAGGCCGTCGTCAGAGGAGCCCGTGATCACGCCCACCCACCTTACGCCCGACGTGCTGGACCAACTGCGCGAGGCTGACGCCGTGGTGAACGAAGAGCTCGCCAACCACGACCTCATGCGCAAGATCAGCCAAGTGCCTGTGGTTCTAATCCCGCTGCCCATGGATGAGCCTGTGGTACGGCCTCTTCACACGACACACACGGCGCGCTTCTGGCAGCTGATGCAAATTGTGAGCGTAGGGTCATCGGTCGATCGTAATCCGCACTCTGATCACGAACGACTTCATGACCGGACATGTGGCCCAGCCGGGCGTGGACATTCCTGAAGCCGTTGTGGAGCTGATGGCGAAGCGCCTGCTTCTCGTCCCGGGCGTAGCACGTGTGGCCTACGACCTCACGCCCAAGCCGCCCGCCACTACCGAGTGGGAGTGATGTTGTGGGAATGCAAGTCTCCAAATAAAACGGCGACGACAACTGAGCTTTGCACTGGAGCACCGAACCCAAAGGGAGGCCAAATGCAACGTTGCAAGCGCCCCACCCGCAGTTCCCAACCAACAGCAGCGCTCCCTCGAGGAGAATCATCCCACCAGGGGGGGAAAAAAGAGACGACGCCAAAAGAAGATCAAGCTCGCTCACGGTGGGGATCGAACCCACAATCTTCCGCTTAGGAGGCGGACGCCTTTCCATTGGGCCACGCGAGCTGATACGTGCCTGGTGAGGTGAGTAGCTCTAAGGGGCAACGACTGTTGAGCACCCAGGTGTGACACCAAAACCAGTGCATACATATATACCACAGGTGGTAAGTGGGCACCCAATAAACACCCAAAACCAGCCTGCCACACCACAGCAGGTGACACCAAAATCCATATGTGATGAACCAAGACTCCCATTTCCAGCACAGTCATCAGGACAGCTGCACAGCATTCTGGAGGTTTGTTCCTATGGCATGTTGGGCTTGTTGGGTGACTTGTCTCTTTTGCACTTCTTTCAGTTGATGCAAAGCTCACAATCCTATGGTTGATTTGCTAAATTTCTTTTTTGGATTGTACTACCCCAGTCCCAGAGAAAATGGACCAGTGCAGTGCATGCACGCCTCGATTCTTCAGTCACGTCTGGGATGAGAACGAAACAGTGAAGCGTTGGTGGTATAGTGGCAGCATTGGTGCCTTCCAAGCACTAGACCCGGGTTCGATTCCCGGTCAACGCACCTCTTTTGCCTCCTAGGATGTTGGATCCTCATCGTGTCCAATTTGCGTTCGCCTTTCACAGTTTGTGTGAAAAGGTTCGCTGTGCTCGTCACCACCAACGAAGCATGCGCAACACCCCAGGCCGGGTCCGTCTTATCAGGATGTCTGTGTGCCGTTCTAACGCGCAATTACTTGCAGAATGCGTGGGATCACTGTACAGGGACCTTGTAAGCTACACGAGTGCTTGTCAGGTTCAGATACCCGCCCTGCGCGCTAAGTACGAACCTTTCCTCCTGTCCAATGGCCTGATGGTGTTCGCAAATGAGGCTGTGGGTGGCCGCCAGGAGGGACAACCCTTCAGTAGCGAGTCAGGAGGGCAGCCCCATTGCATGTCCCCAACGAAGCTGGCGAGCCGGTGCCCTTGTGCTGCAACCACACTAGCAGAACTACTCTATGAGCTATCAAGTGCGTCCTGCGACACTATGCTGGCCTATTGTTGTGAAGGCATTCAGGACGGCAGCGACAACGTCCAAGCGCTCGACGCTAGGCCCAGTGTGGGGGCTTGGAGGTACGACAGCGAGAAGAGGGCTACCGTAATCCATTCGACCAAGAGAAATGGCAAATGTAAAGAGGAAGAATTGCGATGCGCTATGCTTTGGCTTCCTCCTCCACTCAAGAAGAAGAGTTTTCACATGTTTATTTGGGGGCAGAGGGCAACAGGCTTAGATGATACCGATCCTGTTAGCAATGTCAAGGGCGTCAAAGTCACCGGTGAGGCGGACGTAAGCCTTCTTCTTGCCGTCGGGCCTCACGAGGGTGTTGACCTTCTCGGCGGTGATGTCGTACATCTTCTTCACGGCGTCCTTGATCTGACGCTTGTTGGCCTTGAGGTCGACGATGAAGACGAGAGTGTTGTTGTCCTCAATCTTCTTCATGGCGCTCTCGGTGGTCAAGGGGTGCCTGAGGACGCGGAACTGGTCGAGCTTGTTCGTGCGGGGAACCGACCTCCTGGGGTACTTGGGGTTGCGGGGAAGGCGGAGAGTCTTCGGGCGGAAGAAGTGCACGTTCGTCCTGACCTTGCGGACACGCTTGGTGGCGCCCTTCTTGATGGTCTTCTGGAGCTTGAGGGCCTTGGACCTAGCCTGGGCAGCCTGGCCGGTGGTCTTCTTGGCGACGGCGCTGTCGGCCTTCTTGTCGGCGGGGGCAGCGGCCCTCTTGGCGGCGCGGTTGACCTTGTCCTTCTTAGGGGCGGCCTTGGCGACGTCCTTCTTGGGGGCGGCGGCCTTCTTGGCAGGAGCGGCCTTGGCGGGGGCGGCCTTAGTGGCGGCGGGGGCCTTCTTAGTTTCTGCATTCCATAATCATAGCAAATTGAATCAGGATTCGCGTTCGGCCAACAGACATTTCGATCACAGACATTCCGATCCATCTAGCATCCATCCGCGATATCGCGCAGCAACACCCTACTACACACTCCGAACGACGAGAGGGAGCTCCGTACCCTTAGGCATTGCTAGTTATGTGTCCTCTGCAGAGACCCCTAGAAGGATGGCCGATACGAGACTGGGAGGAGAGAGAGAAAGAGGAAGAAAAGAAAAAATCCACCCTAATGCCCGGTTTTGCTGGGGCTTGACTTCTTAAGAAGGCGAATTGTCCACAATTATTCGTATTGCACAGAAAAAAGGCGAAGATCAAAAAAAGTGTACGACAATTACCTGATCTGCAATTTCAGAATTAAGATCATCGCAAGGAGTGGGAAGATTGCAGCCAAGGGAATGGAAGGTGAGATGGGCGACGAGGCCACCTCGAGCAGAACATCCCTTCTGGGCAGTGGGGACGCGGTTGGCGCGAATCTGCCGCCTTTGGGCGACCCCAATTCCATAGAAGATGAAATGGAGGTTGTGGAGGGTCCCGTGCAAAACCTTGATCAGTTTTTCACCAGGGTACACGCTCGTGCACCAATCCTGCATCTGCAATCACCACTCTAAGCACCCCAACCTTTTCGCGATTGACCCCCCCCCCCTGTAGGTCTACGACTACTACCAGCACAAGGGTTTCGGGGCCATTTTCCTCGCCCGGGCTCTCAATCTGTGGTACACGCCAACATCACCACTTCACCATCTCTCTTGATCTGCGCGCCTCTGGTCTTCACACGGGTGTTGTCTTTGCACAGTACACTAGCCTTCGTCATTCTCTTTCCCACCTTCTTGGTCACCTACGTCGACTACCACACGCTCTTCTCCACCAACGACCTCGGCCAGGCTCTGCTTCCTCTCGAGCTGAGCAGGTACCCTCCCAATTCGTGACTCTAAGGCCCTGGGGCGCTCACCGCGTGGCCTTGTCGGCTGTCAGACTGCACCCGTTCGTGGCGGTGTGCTTGGCGCTCTTCCTGCTGTTCTGGCTGCTGCAGTTCTTCCAGTTCCTGAGCGAGGTCAGAGACAAGCGGGAGATCAAGCGCTTCTACAACCAGGCCCTGCGGATCAACGACGACAAGATACAGACGATGGAGTGGCACGAAGTCGTGGACCGGCTCACCAAAGTCGCGGCCAACCGCCGGCTGGTGATCGTCAAGGACGAGCTCACACCACTCGGTTCGTCTTGCCGCATGCATGCACGCCGGGCGCGTGAGAGGTGAAGTGGTGCAACGTCACTGGTCTCGTCTCACCTTTCCGTTCGCGCCGTGCACACAGACGTGGTCCAGCGCATCATGCGAAGGCAGAACTACATGATCGCGCTGGTCAACCAGGGCATCGTCTCCTTCTCTATCCGGCTGCCGTTTCTGGGCCTGTGCTCCTTCTGGAGCAAGACGCTCGAGTGGTGGTACTTGAACCCGCCCAACATGAACCTCTTTGTGGCACGTCATTCGTATGATGCCAACCTTGCTGACTCGTTTCGCTTCGTTTCGTGTGGGCTGCCGGCAGCCTGTCGTTTGTACTCGGCTACACCGTGTTTGGAGCTCATTCGGTGCGCAAGAAGATCCTGCAGCCCGAGAACTTGGAGGTACGCCTCCAATCGACGACACCCAAATCCGCAGCGCTGCATTGGTGGCCCGCGATCAGAGTCCCTGGTACTAACAACGACGCACAATCGTGTTGCAGCGCACGGCTCGTTCGCTGCAGCTGCACCTGCGCGTGTTCGCCGTGGCCGGCTTCTTCTTGACGCCCTTTGTGCTCATCTTCCTTACCATGTATTTCTTCTTGCGGTACGCCCTTCGCCCCAGACCTCCCCCTCCCCCGATCAAAGTCTCACCTTCTCGTTCTCGGTGAACCGGAAGGTATGGCGAAGAGCTCCGCAATCGGCCCTCCTTCACCCTGGCGGCCCGAAACTGGAGCCGGTCCGCTCGCTGGCGGCTCTGGGAGTACAACGAGCTGCCGCACATGCTGCACGAGGTAACGTTACGCCGTCAAGTGCGCGCTCGCCTGCGTTCCCTGCTGCCACTTTACGTTGGGTTCACTACTGTTTCGTTTCCTCGCCGCGCCACAGCGCCTGTCCAAGGCGTCCGACGCCGCGGAGAAGTACCTGTCGCACTTCCAGCCCTACTCCGTAACGCTGATCGCGCGCTTCATCCGATTCGTCGCCGGCGCGTTTGTTGCCGTGCTCATCCTCATGGCCCTGCTCGACGAGGACACCCTCCTCACGTCCCACGTCGTAGGGCGGTACCCTCCCCTCCCCGCCCCTTTATGTCGATTTTCCCTCCATTTTTATTTCTATTATTATTTTGATATTCATATATAAACAATTATTTATATAGGCATTTCTTGATTAAAAAAAATATGTTGCTGAACCCTTTTGGTCGGTACAGATCGCTCGTCTGGTGGCTGGGCGTGTTGGGCACCATTGTCGCCCTCTCGCGCGCACATATCCCCGACGAACGACAAGCCTTCGCTCCCGGTACGCCCCACCCACCCGTTCGCACACGATTCGTTGTTCATTGACCGGTGTGTTCACATGTGTGCGCCATGCCACCTACAGCTCCCGATCTCGATACACTTGTTACGTTGACGCACCACAAGCCCGACAGCTGGGTGGGAAGCGAGAACACATGGGAAGTCCGGGACGAGGTTCCTCCTACCCCACCCCCCACCCCCCGCGCCTCCAAGCCCACAACTTTCATCCCGGCCAGTCGTATCTCACTCACTTCTTTGCATTCACTTCTCTGCTCGACACCAGGTGGCCGAGCTCTACGAATTTAAGGCCACGTCGTTGCTGCGGGAGCTGGCCGCCATACTCGTGGGGCCCTTCATCCTCTTCTTCTCCACCGCTTCTCGCCAGTCCACCCGTGCGCACTTCACACCGCACCACCCCCCTCCGCGTCGCACACAGCTAACCCGCTCTTCCCCCCCCCCACCAACCACCCAACAGTTGCCATCATCCAGTTCTTCCAGAAGTGCACCGATAACGTCGAGGGCGTAGGTGCGTGCGGCTTCCCCCCGTGCACGGCTCGAGAGTGTTGGCTGGGGGGTGGTTGACGAACATTTTCATTTTCTATCGGGTCTATGTACGTAGGCTACGTGTGCTCGTTTGGCAACCTCGACAGCGCCCTGGACAAGCTGGGCGATCCCGAGTGGGGCAGCGGCATCGACGCGGAGTCGCCGCTCGACAAGGGCAAGGAGAAGGACGAGGGGGCGCCGAGTGCAGCGGGCATCGAGAGTGAGGGAGAGGAGGAGCAGCAGCAGCACCCGCATGACTTTGAGGAGGAGGTCCGGGCCGCCACGCGCAGCTCACGCAACGGAAAGATGGAGAAATCGCTCCTCAATTTTGTCGTATGTCTTCCCCTCTATACACACACCACACACCACACCACACACACCTTTGTCAGCCGCATCTCGCCTTGGCACACGACCCTAAATCGACCGCACGCACGCACACAGGAACACTACCCGACGTGGCAACCAGCGCGACCAGGCCAACGTCTGCTGGACAACCTCTCACGCCACTTGAACACATCGAGCCGATTCGGGTCCTCGAACGAGGTTCGCTTCATCCCCTCCCCCATGGAGGCCGAGCACTCTCCTTTTTTGCAATCTTTCTCACCTTCGCGTGTAGATGGGACAGAGCCAGGGCTTGTTCGGGCGCAACTGGGCGCAGGGCGGGCTGGGCGCCTCCACGGCCGCACCCTGGGGCTCGTCGGGCAACTGGGCCATGGGCAGCTCGTGGGCGCAGTTCGCGGAACGAAACATGCAGCCGCCCATCGCGCCCTGGGCCTCGTCTCTCCTCTCCGTACTCCTCCCACCCCATCATCCACTCCCCGCACGGCCCCTCTGACACTCGCGTCTTTGGAACAGGTCCAGCAGAGTTTCCACGAGCAGGCGGTGATGAGCAAGCCGCTCGTGCCGCAGCGCAGGAAGCGACAGGACGGCGATCGCAGCTTTGAGATGCACGCCCTCTGATTGCAACAACTCCCGCCTGCCTTCCGTGCCGGCCTTTTGCTCCGCCACACGAAGGGTGGGCACTGGCGGCCCACCGCACGCGTTTGTGCTGCACTTAGTATGTAGATAAAGCAACAAAACATTCACCCTCGCCTGTTCACGAGTCTCAATGTGCGCCGTGTGCTGAAGCAACGTTGATTTATTTTGCCTGCTTCTCCGTTGTGTGACGTCCGTCGGCCTAAAACAACTTATTTATTGTCCATTGCACCATGGAGAAGCAGGCGGAGGGAGCACGCAAGGCCTACGAGTACGGCCAAGAGAACAAGATCGACTGGGGCCGTACAGCCTCCGACTACACGAGGTGAGGCAACCTGGCAAGCTGGGTTCTTTTCTCTCCACCCCCCCCCCGCACGATACTGACGTGGTGGTTCAGGTATCGAGCGGGCTTCCCAGCAGAGCTGTTCGTGCGGCTGGAGCGGTCGTTTGGCGTCGGCCTGCCCGACCAGCGCGTGCTCGACATCGGCACCGGCACCGGCACCGTCGCCAGGCAAATGCCCACTAGCTCCCTCCCTGCTCTACACGGGGGCCTCTGAGAGCGCTAACGATGGATCGGTGGCGGTCATGCGGTTGGTTTGGGTTGGTTTGCAGGCAGCTGGCCAAGCGTGGGTGCTCCGTCACGGGGCTCGATCCTTCGGCGGAGATGATGGAAGGCGCGAAGGCGCTCGACGAGAAGGAGGGCGTGCGCGTCACCTACGTGCAGGGCAAGACCGAAGACACGCAGCTCCCCACCGCCTCCTTCGAGGTGGTCACCGCCGGCACGTGCTGGCACTGGTTCGACTCGCACAAGGCCTTTGCGGTACGTACTGTCCACAGTAGGGGGGAGTGGTCCCCTCCCCTGACGTCTCTTTGCTCAACGCGCCCGCGGGCTCCAGGAAGTGGCGCGGCTGCTGGTGGAGGGAGGGCGTCTCGTCATTTGCCACTTTGATTGGCTGCCGATCAAGGGCAGCATTGCTTGGCGCACCGAGCAGCTCGTTCTCCGGCATAACCCGAGCACGTCACCCCCAGCCCACACATGTGGCTTCACTGACCTGCCAACTCCTTCTAACTGTTTCCGTACGCAGAGTGGAACATGAACGGAGGGACGGGCTTCTACCCACAGTGGACCATCGACGCTGCTGAATGTGGGTTCACCCACATCGAGACCTTTTCGTTCGACGTGAGCGTGCCCTACTCCCACGAGGCTTGGCGGTACTGATGGCTTGCGCCTGCCCCCTCCCTTCCATCAGGCCTGATGGCCCATCTCATCTGTGTGTGCGCAGAGGCCGCTTGCGGGCGATGGGTGGCATAGCTGCGGCCCTCACGCCTGATCAGGTCGCCCGCTTCGACCGCGAGCTGGACGCCCTCCTGCGCGAACACGCTCCCGACGAGCCTCTCTTCATCCCCCATCGCGTGTGGGCGATGATCGCCACGCGACCAGCGAAGTAGAAAGGGTGAAACCAAAACAAATAAATATAAATATAAAAATATACATAAATACACTAAATAAATAATTTATGGTTCCTTAGCGACACTGGTCGTCGGGAGAAAATTCATCAAATCTGAACAACAAGATGCGATCTTCTATAGGAAGAGGTCGACGATGGAGTCGATCCAGGCAGCCGTGCTCTTGGCGGCGCTGGATGTCGGGGCCTTGTAGCAGCCGAGGCCGTTGGGGCGGATGACTTGGCCGGAGGGGCACGGGGCGGTGATGTAGAAGCCGAACGTTTGGCCGGGGTAGAGGGTGGTGGCGTTGGTGACCGATTCCCAGCCGGCCGTAGCGGTGGCGTTGCAGTACTGCTCGCCGGGGTAGGTAACGCCCTGGCCCTTCAGAACGTCTTGGATGCCGAAGATGACGCCAACGGAGTCGGACCGCTGGTTGCCCCAGTTGCCGGTGGAGGAACTATCCACCTGGACGAGGAAGTCGCCCGAGGAGAAGATGAAGGCGGTGGCGTTGCCCAGGCCTTTCTCCGCAGAGAGGCCATAGTAGGGGAGGACGGTGGCCTGCACGACGAGGCACGCCTGTGCCGCCTTCGCCGTGTAGGGACACGAGCCGGCGGGGTAGACCTTGTAGGCGACGTTCCCCCCTTCGGACCAATCGTACTGGGACCAGGCGAACGCCAAGCCCTGGTAGAAGGCGAAGTCCGCCAGCTTGCTCGGGCGGCTGGGGAAGGGGCAGTCGGCGAGTGGGAAGGACGGGTCCTTGGTCTCGTTGCCGTAGATTTCGCCAAAGGCGATGAAGCCCGCAAAGCTGAGGGTGAAATTGGTAATCTTCTCGCCGTAGAAATCTATGCTGAAGTCGCCGACGTCGATCGCGAGCTTGGTGGGCGTGCCGAAGCCGTCAGTAGGCTGCATTTCCGTTGCGTTGAAGACCCTGGCGCCAGGCTCGGAGGCGAGGTCAAGGGTTATCTGGGGCGGCGAGTCCGAGGACAGCGTGTAGGAGCCCGTGGCCGCTTGCGCCGCACATGCGCAGAGGACAAGCCCGAGAAGGGCAAACGAGAGGGTGGTCTTCATGATGAGTAGAGGTAAGGTATGGGACAATGAATCGAACGCCCGGGAGCAGATACCCTCGATATTAAACTGTCGGCACAACGCCGTGGTTGGTGGTGGCAAGGACACCCAAGCCACCAACAAGCAACGTCGACCCCGTTGCTGGGCTTCTTCTTACGTAATCACCGGAGTTCACCGGTGCCAACAACAACTCGCGACTTTATCCACGCGTGTTGGATCAGCACTTGCTGGGGTTGACGGGCTTGCGCACGAGAAGGGGGACATCGTCGGGTCCGCGCACACTCACGTTGAGGTCTTGCGGGTGGAGAGACAGACATACAGACAGACACACACAGGCGAGGCTGTTAAGTACGCTGGCCAGGTGACAAGAGCAAAGCAAAGGGTCTCCTACCTCGGACAAAGCCGTCGTGAATGCCGTAGACCCAGCCGTGGACATGGGGGAAAACGTTCGCGCTCTTCCTCCTCTCCCACGCGTCCTTAATGATCGAGGTGCGGCACACGTTGTACACTCCTACACACAATTGGGTCAGCGAATTAATAGGGGACTGCTTACGGCAGCAGTGTTTTTACCTTCAATGACGTGAAGCTCGGTCATCCTCTTGGCCCTGTCCGCGTCATTAGGAATGCTCTCCAGCTCCTCTCTGTGGAGCATGTATTCGTCCTTGAGGTTCCTGCAGATAAGAAATGGATGGTCAGAGATCGTACGCCAGCGCGAGTGTGAGCAGTGGCCAGTTTTGCTTGACGCGGACAATACCTCAGCCAGTTATCCACCATACCAAACTGATTGTTGGTCATGGAGGCAATAACACCTCCACAGCCATAGTGCCCACACACGATGACGTGCTTGACCTGACATTATACGTCAGCACGAGCGCCAAAGCGCGCTGAGGGGAGGGGCAAACTGGGCAATACGAGCTACGGTGTAGAGCGGTAAGTGTACCTGGAGAACATCCACGGCGTACTGCAGCACCGAGAGAAGGTTCATGTCAGTGTGCACGACCGTGTTGGCAATGTTTCTGTGCACAAAGATGGAGCCTGTGCGCGGTGCGAGTCAGTCGCAGGTGGGTGAGGATGAACGCACGTTTAGACGAAGGGGGGGAGGTGCACTTACCCGGGTCGCTTCCGGTGATGACGTTGGCAGGGACGCGCGAGTCCGAGCAGCCGATCCAGAGGACTTGCGGGCTCTGGCCGGCAGACAAGCGCTTGAACAGGTCAGGGTCCTTCTCCAGCTGTTGCGCAACCCATTCTTTGTTGCCGTTGATCAAGTCGTTGTAGGACTCCCTCATACGAAGCCTTTGACGAACAAACAAGCCAGCACGCCTTCAGAACAGGGCGCTATTGGGGGGGGGGGTTGATTGCACGCACATTTCATCCTTGAGCTTGTCATCTGTGCTGATTGATCGCTGGGGCAGAGTGGTGGCAGTAGCGCATCTGCAGCGAGAAAGAGCAATTGAGAGATTACTCCTTCAAGCACGCGCAATTCTGCGAAGGGGGCGCACCTGGCGCAAAGGCAGGTGGAAGTGGTGCTGTGAAGGGGTGAAGAAGCGGCCATACGCGGCAAAACGCTCACACCACCCCTGGCAATCGCGCTGGAGCGGAGGGAGATGGAGGAAGCAAGCCCACGACGCATTGTATTGTACTGAATCGAGTGTGGACGACGAACTGCCGGAAGCGTAAGAGGGCAGCCGAGCGCGCCGGTCACTGCCACTTGCGGCGAGAGAAGTGTCTGTCTGCAAAAAAATTCAAGCTATATTCCCGCCAAAAAGCGTGCTGCATGTTTTGCATTTTAATTGATCGCTTTCTGTTCGCGGTGATCACCGGCGCACACTGCGCCGTGGGTCATCATCTTGGCGTGCGTGTCGATGATTGACTGGGGGAAACGACAGTGTTCGAAGAAGAACGGGCAAAGCGGGCCGTGGGGTGACCAGCACGAAGTCGACCAAGGCTAAGCCGACTGGTGGATTAAAGCGGCGTTTCGTGCCTGCTTCCCCCAAATGTCAGCTCATATTCCGGGCAGGCCGGATCGCCGCGGTCCGTGGGCTCCTCCGCCCCGCCACTACCCCGCCATCGGCACTTTTTATGCGGCTGGTGATTGGTGTGGTCGGATACTTAGGAGTGCGTCCGACATTGCCCCGGCGGAGCTTGCCCTCGCGGACAAACCCGCGCCCGTGCACTCCAGGAACAGGGCGAAGAAGCACCTCCCCCCCCCCCGCACGATTGCTCGCATCGGCGGGCGGAGCGGCGTTGTCTGGCATTGTGCCGCTTTTCTTGGCAAAGGCGCGCGTCACGCGAGAGCACTTGGCCAAACTCGACCAGAAACAACACGCTGATGGAGCAGTGGAATAAGGCCTGCTTGCCTTGCCGGCTGGTGCACACCACATGCGATGGGTACGCAACCTAACTCAACTTAGATAAGTTATCTCTCCCACGTGCCAGCAAAACAACAAAAAATTCAAAACAAATAAGAATCAAAAAGAGAGCTACAACATACGTTGGCTGGCCCCAGGCCACTTCATGGCCTACGTTAGCCCACCAGACGCTGCTCCTGGTCCTTGGGAACTCTGGCCCTCAATTTTCATTGGTGGTCGTTCCTGCGGGCAAAAAGTGGGCTCATCTCTCCATCACCGCGTCGTCATTCCAGGAAGAGGCCGTGCAGGCGGTGTGTCAAGCTGGGCAAACCCTCTACATGCATCAACGTTGAAAAGAAGAGAAGGGGCCGTCCGCCGAAGAACAGGCCCGCCACCGTAGCAGCTTCCAACCCTGCGACGGTTGCCTCGACGGCCCAGCGGCCACAAAAGAACCTGGGCGGCAACTGGGAGAATGCGGCGACTCAGAGGGCGATGCGGCCGAGGAAGCAACCAGCCCATCCCTACCACGACGACAGCTACGGCGAGAGAAGGAGCAGCAACCGAAGGAGAGTCAGCGTCAGAAGGGCCGACACAGAGGCGTTCTCTCCATCTTCATCGTCAGACGAAGAAGAGGACGACGACGACGAAGACGACAGCAAAGATGACGACGACTACCGAGACTACAGGAGTAGTGTAGTGGCGGGAAAGAAGAGGAAGATGCCGCTGCCGCCAGAGACCACCACCGTACCCGCTGTCCCCGACACCACCTCGGACACCATCACGAAGCGGCCACGAGCTGAGCCACAAGAGCAACCCCCTGCACATTCCGGTACCTCCCACCACCATCCACATTGCCTGGTGGTGACCGTTGACGCTCACCACCAGCGGTCGGTGAGCAGGACCCGTCTCGCCCGAGGCTTCGCACGAGGGCTGTGTGGACGACGAGCAGCTGCCGCTGCTTCTCGATCCGGTCTACTCGTGGATCGACGACCTCGACCCGATTGGCGTTGCCACCACTGACTCCGACGCATTCCTCGCATTCCCTGTTGTTGACGCCCCCTTCGCCATGATCTCGCAGCCACGGCCTCTGCCTTCATCCCTCAACGCAGCGTCGCCACCGCCGCCGCAGCCGCCACTCCCGCTCTCTCTCCCAACTCAACAGCCACAGCAACCACCCATCCCGCTGGTGAGCTGCGATGACGCCTACCCACCACTCCCATCGCCGTCATTCGAGTTTCGTGATGGCTTCGATCACGAGTACGACGGCTTCGATGCCGAAGATGGGCACGACCACGATCACGATCACGATTGCACATGCTCATCTCCTCACTCCTCTTCGTCGTCGCTCTCCGGCGATGCGGCCGACGCGCAGCTGGTGAAGAGCCTGTTCGGCATGATGACCGATCAGGTGGGCGAGCTCAAGAAGGCCAACGAGGACCTGCGCGAATCGATCGACACGATCTGGCAGACCTTTAACGAGAGGATGGACCGCGGGGAGAAGAGGGTCAGCGAGCTCAGCCATCTCGTGTCGACACGGCTCGAGCCCGCGGGCAACTGGGGGGCCGCTTTCACCCCGCCCTCGTCGTCGCTTGCCGACGAGCCAGCGCCCAGCCAGAACCACCCACGGCCGGAGCTCTTCCGTGAGCTCCCCTTCCTGCTCGACTGGGCCGACGACATTGACTTCGCCAATCCCGATGGGTTCGTGATCGATGATTTGAGGTGCGCCACTCATTCACTTCTTCTGCGTGCTCTCGTGTGGCGATGGGCAGGCCAGTCGCTTACTCTCGCCTCTTTCGTCATGCAGCAAGCCGTTTATCGTGCGCAGGCTGTTTGAACCCACGCAAGACGCGGTACGTGCATCCCCTGTTCCTGGGCTTCATCACCACGGCTGAGACTGACTACCCTCACCCCACAGGCCCAGTCTCTTCCCGTCAGCATCTACGCCAGCCCTGCCTTCTGTAGCTTTGTACGGACCGCTCCGGTAAGGCATCCCCTCATGTGTGTGTGTCAAACGAATTGAAAGCTTGGCCTTGCGCGGGTTGTCTCACCGATTGTTTCCTCCGCGTCTAGCATGAGATCGTGGGCACGCTGTGCTACAAGGCCCAGGATGAGCCGCTGCGTTGGTTCCTCGCCAAGAAGTGCCCGCGACCCGTCGGCGATCTCTGCTTCCTCCCTCTGGTGCGGCCGATCGGTGGGCGCATGGTACAGAGCCTCACCAAGAACCAGCTCTTTTACGACCGCAACGGCATCGTACGTTCCCTCGCTCCTTCCATCAGTGACCGAGACTTCCGCTACTCACCACCGACGGTACAGGCCAAGTTGTGGATCCTGGTGGTGGAGCGGTTCGTCGGACCCATGGAGGAGCCCGCTGCGCTATCTGTCTCAGCGTCCTGCCCGCAACCGCGCGAGGAGACCTGCGAAGGGCAGCATCGGAAGGCGGAGCAGAGCACGAACGCCAAGGTCTCCTAGACCCAAATGTCATCGAGATGCAACACCCTTGACTTCCACCCCTTCTTGTAAGTATACTCGATCTGTCCTGTACACAAATACATACTTTAATATTTGCCAAAGTCCGGTCTCCAACAACGCATCGTATTCCAACATAGTGTGTGATCACACTATTCCTCCTGGACGATGTAATTGGCGGAGAGAGTGAATTTCAACGAAAGCGAAATGTTCCGAAAATCCGCCACTCGGAAACGTGGCCCAAGGGTGGGCTGCCAATGCGGGGCTCACGGAAGGAGAGAGATCCGCTGCCCGCAGAAACAGCGGGAAGGAAGAGGTGCGGGTCGCCGACGCGTTCTCTTTTTCTTTTCAACTGACTAACAACAACGAGCCTGACGAGACGCTCAGGCCGAGAGCGTTCTTTCCCTTTGTGCCACCTGACTCTGAGAACACGCAATGGACGGTTCTGGAATGACTGAATGGAACAAGGCCTGCCTGCCGTGCCGCCTTGTTCATGCCACATGCAATGGGTGCGCATGCTACCCTCCTTGTCCTTCTCCTCTTCCCCCCCCCCCAAACCTGCACTTCACAATTCGTGCCGGTGGTGTGTGTTGTGTTCCCGCGGCCACTCGCGGCCTGACACGATTCCACGTTTCTCACGTTTGTTGTTTGTACGCCGGCGTACAGGGAGCGGCCGTGTAAACGATGCAATGCGTTGGGACGGCCGGACCATTGCGTCAACGTGGAAAGGAAGAAGCGGGGGCGGCCCCGAAAAAACCCCATTGAAGGCGAAGAGCTCCTCGAGAAGCGCGCACGTATCAATGAAGGTGAGCTCCTACTCTCTGTCCCTTCTCCCTTCTTCTTCTTCATCTTCTTTGTGTTTCGAAAGCTCACTTCACGTTGCCCGCGTGCGTTGAGCAGAACACCCGACGAGAACAGATGGTGATGGCGGAGCCCACAGCGGCAACACGGCGACGTTTCATCCCTCGTTCCCCAGCATTCCACTCCAGCAGCAGGCCTATCACTCGCTGTTCCCTCAATCGTCGTCTCCTTCAGACTCGCCTCACTCGTCTCCTTTGTCTTCCTCCTCGTCCGCTTCTTCCTCTTCTCCCCTCGACGTGGAGCACCACATCGAGTCTGCTGGCTTCGCTGCCGCGAGACGCCACCAACACAACAACAGCAACAGCAGCCGGCATCACAGCCACCACAGCCATCACCGAAACCACAGCAGCGGCAGCGGCAGCAGCCGGCACGCGCACAGTGACAGGCGCAGCAGAGAGAACGATGGCGAGGAAGAGTCTACGAACGTCAGCATGCTGATCGACGAGATGCGGGAGTTGCGGAAGGAGAACAGAGTGCTTAACGAGAAGCTGGCCTTCTTCTGCGAGAAGGTCGACCGCCGGCTCTCGTCAAGCGAGCGCAAGATCGATTCGCTGTCGACCACGCTCACGACGGCCACCACACCGTTCATCTCCCCGTGGTCCTCGTCTCCTCCCTCTTTCTCGGCCTCCCCGCTCTACATCCGCAAGGAGATCCTCAAGGACCTCCCGTTTCTTCTCGACTACGACATCATCTCCGAGCAGGTGCCATTTCTCATCGATGACCTTCGGTACGCGACTCTGGGGTTCAACTATGTTGTTTCCTGTATGGCACTTCTTGCTCACCGGCTGTTATCCGGGACTGTCAACAGGAAAGCGTTCATCGTGAGAAGGATCTTTGATCCAACCCCGGAGGAGGACCTCACGGTGCCGGTGACCACCTACGCCAACCCGGCTTGCTGCGCTCTTCTGGGCACCCTCCTGGTATGGATCTCTCTTCGTGTGTGAGCGTCTCGGGGTTCGGCAGTTGCAATTACTGACACGCGCACGATGTTGTTTGTTATGTAGCACGAGCTGGTGGGCGCCCCATGCTGGTTCGCATTGGAGCAGCCGATCAGGGCCTACCTGACTGCGAAATCCGACAAGCCCGTTGGCGACATCTTCCTCAACGCCGTCACGCGCAAGGGCAACCGCAAGCGCCTTCTCAGACTCTTCTCCCGCAACCAGGTCTTCTACAACGCCAAAGGAAATGTACGTCGCAACCCAGCCGCCACGAAGCAATTCCACCATCTTTATCAATATCACAGTGCACTGATTGATCTCTTTTTCGTGGCGCAGGCCAAGTGGTGGATCTCCATCATTGACAAGACCGAGGAACTGCCTCCGACCGCGCAGCCGGACAGCAACAAGATCGCCCTCATTCTTAACCGTAATCGGCGCGGCGGTGCCACTCTCAGCCTGGTGCCGAAGGACGGAGATTCTGACGACGACGACGGCGCCGAGAACACCACAACCGCGGTGTCCACGTCCCCGTCATCATCGGCGAGCTCCCCTTCCTCGTCATCTACCATGCCAGCCTCTACCATCACCACGATATCGTCTCTCTCCAACACCCCGCCTGCCTTGTCGTCGTCTGCTCGCACGATCGCAACGCCGTCTTCCTTCGCCGCCACGACCAACTTCTTCAACCCGGCATGTGCCACCTTCTCTTCGCCTTTCATCTCCACCTCATCTCTCGCTCCCGCACCCTCGCCCTCGTCCTCCTTCTCGAGCCTGCTCTACACCTCCGGTCTGCCGGGCCTCATAGGAGCGCCGATCGGCGAGCTCTCCGACTTCGCCGGCAGCATAGCCGGCGGTGGCACTCGCGCAAACACAGGCGGCGAGCGCAACGAACCCTTGGACCAGGAGCTGCAGGAGTTGTGGGCTCTCCTCGCTCCGAGTGAGCGGGAACCAACTCCCATGTGATCATGTACAGCCGACATTCACCGTGTCAAGTCCACGCAAGTGTAACAAGAACCACAAAAGAAGTGTACATCAAGAGTGCCCCCAGCCCACGGTCCGCTCGTACCGGCAGGAGCGAGTTTAGTGAACGGGGAGCGAAAAGAAAATTGAAGAATGCCAGGCATTTCAGAAGAAAGCCAGCAACGACGAGCAGGAAAAAGAGAGACAAGCAGGTCACGCCCCAAGGCCGAGTGCAGCTGCATTAGCCATTAGGTCGTCTTTTTGATCGACTTAGGGGGGCGTTGAGGCGCAGCGGAAGGCAAGGGCTGTGAGAGATGGCGGACGCAAAGGAGGAAGATCGGATTAGACAGGAATTAGAGAATGGCGGCAACAACGACACCCAGCAGCGCTCAGCGACAGAAGGGAAGACCACCCACGCCAACGAAGATGCGGGAGTAGAGGTTAAGGCCAAGGACGCGCAACCATTGGAAGAGCTGCCATCACCGAGGAATGGAAAGACACCCAGACCTGGGGGAAGAGATGAAGATGCAACGGGAGAAGACGATAAGGGAAAGGAAAAGGAGGAGGCGAAAGGAGCGAAGGCCACGAAGACGCCCACAGGCAACTCTTCGATGGCCAATACCAATGCGGCCAGGGCGTACGCGAACAGCAAGAGCCGCGCGAATGCCTACGCAGACAAGGATGATCTTCGTCGCTACTACACCGCCATTGATCGCAACCTGCGCGATGGTACACCAAGGCTGGGGCAAACCGGGGGGGTCTTTATTGCTTTTTTTGATAAAGAATGGGAAAATCGAAAAATCGAAGTTATTGCAGGATCCACTTTGGCCTGAGCAAGTGGTGTTGGATTCATAATCTTCTTCTTCTTCTTCTGACACTTATGCCGCGCTTGGTTGCACATGACAGAGCACATGCCAAGCAGGCCGCTCCAGCTGGCCGAGGAGGCGCTTCGCAGTGTGCTGGACGAAACGGTCGATAGCGTAGAGCACCTTAACTACTTCATCCGTATCGCTCTGCCCAAGATCGTCAAGAGCCTTCTAACTCGGAGGTACGCTCCCACGGACGCAAACCCACAGCGGCTTACTATTGATGATCGGACCACGAGTGGCTGCACGCGTTGCTCTCGTCAAGAATGCACCCACTCATTCTCACACTCCACAGAGACCTGAGTGGGAACATCAGGGTCCATTTCAACAACTACCTCATCCGTACTTTTGACGTGATTCTTGAGTTCATGCATCAAGGTCTCTTCTCCCTGTCTCTATGTTCTTATTATGCAAGATCTTGCTCGCTTATTGGCATCGTCTCAACCTCCTTCTCTCTCTCTCTCTCGCTCTCGCACACTCACAGACATCAAAGAAGTGTCGCAAGTCCTCTGTATTTTGACTCAGCCCGATCAGGACTTCTACCAGCTCTCCAAGCGACCTGACAAGGAACACTACCCGAAGATCATGGAGAAAGTCCGCGAGGTACGTCGCCGCGCCGTGCACTCATCCCTCCCTTCTCGAGAATCAGGACCGGCTCCGATCGTTGTTTGGTCTCGGTCGGCGCCGACCTTCACTCATTGCTGCGCCGTGTCGTACACCAACAACAGTATTTTGCCAAGAACGAGGTGGTCCCTGCGAAGGACAGAGAGCTCTCTTGGCAGAGCGATTTTGTGTACATCAACCCGGTACGCAGCTTTCCTCTTGACTCGTGTGATTGCCCCATAAATGTAAATGCGGCCCATCTGACCCACTGCGTACTCGTATAGAAAGGAGAGCCTCTTTCTACGCATTACCTGATCAGCGTGGAGTATTTTGGCAAGCGAGGAGGCTTTGACGCCATCATGGACAGACTACTAGACAAGGAGAACAAGCCCCCTCTGCCCATAATCGAACTCCTCCTCAGGGCGATCGTATATGTACGTCGCCCTCCTTTCTTCTTCTTCTTCTGTTTTTGCGAGCATTCACGGTTGTGTTTGCATGACGCGGACGGTTGCTCACCGCTTTATTTCACCTCGCCGTGTCACCACAGACCAGCAAGGTCTTGCGGAGAGATTTTGTGAAGGAGTACGTGCCAAAGGTCCAGCAGGCCATCTTCCATCAGCTGTTGGAGGCGACGCAAGTGGAAATGAAGAAGGACGCCAAGACGTCCTTCAAGGACATCTCCAAGTCGCTGAAGGCTCTGCTGGGGCTCATCATGCCGCCGGAGGAGATTGACAAGGTCATCGAAGGTATGGCAGCCGATCCCGACCGCCACCAACCGGCCTTGGACCGACCGCCCTTCATTCTACATTGTTTCGTCCTCTTGCCCCTCTCATTGCGTTTGTTCAGGCTTCAACTTGGACGCTGCGTTGATGTCTCTCAAGTCCAACGTGCTGGAGCGAAGGCTGAACGGCCTCAAGCTGATCAGGAAGATGATCGCCCGCGCGACGCCCAAGGACGACAAGAAGTCTTCCCTGGCTTATTTTTGGAACAAGACCAAGCAGGTACCACAGCTCCGCCCTTTCTTCTCGTAAGCCCGAGGCTGCCTGGCACGACTGTGACGTTAACGCTGCGTTTGCAGGCGACTGCTGCGGTGGCCACGGCCGCTGTGGCGCCGGGCTATGGCGGAGTAGCACAGGGCCAAGACGGCGAGAAGAAGGAGGTGGAGGAGAAGCCGATCGACCCCAACTTTGTTCTCTCGTGGTTGCTGGACAACGAAATCCTCAAGCTTCTCTTCACCAACACGCACGTGGAGCTCATCCGCCAGTCGCTGGGCATCCTCAACTTCCTCGTGAGCAAGAACAAGCTGGCCGTGGAGGACCTCGACATGCTCTGGGAAGCCTCTCTCGGGCGACACGAGTCCGAGAAGCGGGTCATTTTCGAGACCATCGTGAGCCTGGGCCAGAACCTGCCCTACAAGACCATCGGTACTCCTCGCAGAAGCCTCTTCACAACACGCTCATCTGGCGGCTAACCAATCGTTGTGCTGAACGCGTTCTTCTTTACACAACAGACCACATTTTCTCGCGGATTATGGAGACGCCCATCAACGGGTACGACGCCGAGACCGTCATCCTGGTCCACGATTTCACGGTTATCGGCGTCAAGGCCAACGTACGATCATCGACCTCCTGCTCGCTCGAGAACGTTTCTCGTTTGCGGTCTTTCTTCTTTGCTGACCTCTTGAGCTGGCATCGCGCACACAACAGAACTCGGGGAAGAAGAACTGGTACGGCATGGACGTCCTGTGGAAGCTGGCCATGCAAGAGGGCGAGGGCATCCAGGACGCGTTGGCCACCTGTGCGTTTGACAACCTGGTCGAGCTACTCAAGCTCGAACTTGTCGCGCCGGTGCGGACCACCTACACCGAGCGTTGTGCCGAGAACCTCATGAAGAGCGTCTGCATGCCGCAGTCTCTCGAGCTTCTCATCAAAATCGTCGGTACGGCGCCGCCTCCTCACACCAACTCCTTTGAAGGTTTTGATATTGACGACCTTTTTGCTTTGTCTGATTTTTGTATTTGTGCATTCTTTGCTTCGTGCAGAAACCAACCCCAAGAAGGGAAGGAAGAAGGTGGTGGACGCGCTGGCGCGCAAGTACAAGCTCCTCGACGCGTTCTTTGCCGACTTGCAGAAGTACAAGCGAGAGGTGCACAGTGCCGAGGTAAGTCTGCCCACGTCGTGGTAAGGAGGGAGACCCCTTTGCAGTCGCTCACGCCACCATCTTTTGTCAAACGCGTGGTGTAGGAGAGCGAGGACGACGGAGGCAAGAAGAAGAAAAAGAAGAAGAAAAACAAGGGTCGCGTGGTCCTGATGCGATACCCACACATGCAACAGATCAAGATACGGCTTTCGTTCCTCGAGTTCCTGCTTGTCAACTCGTCGTCCACCTTGACGGCTGCCCAGGTACCTTTCGAGCTCGCAGACACTCTCCGCTCGCCCTTTTCCCAACGCTTTTCTCTTTGTCACGGCCCCAGGTCGACGTGCTCTGGGACAACTTGATCACGAACGCTCTCGTCCCCGAAGAGCGAGAGGCCTGTTTCGCGTGGCTGGAGAAATCCAGCGCCAACAAGCCCGATGGCTTTGTGGTGCGTAGATTGCTTCACATTTATACGGTTTATCTTTATATATTTATTTTGATACCACGCCAGAGAAAGTACAATCTTAGATGACGTTTCTGTCGCTCGGTTCAACAGGCATTCGACGAGTCGGTCATCCAGCACCTGTTCGTGGACAAGATGGCGCAGATGGATTGCACGCTCCTCAACCAGGCAGGTTTCAACGTGTTCCACCGCTACTTCCTGGCCATCAACGAAAAGAAGGACAGGCTCAAGCGGGTGGACAAGGCCACCGACGAGCTCTACGTGGCCTCGCCCGACCTCATCGGCATTGACAACCTCTGGCAGATTGCGCTCGACGCTCAGGACGTCGAGGTGTCACAAGCGGCCATTCGTACCCTCAACGAGTTGCACCAAAACGTACGCCACGTGTGGTCAGCGCCGTGGTTCCACCGCGCACACAGTATGCTCACTGCCAGCTCTTTGCAGGTGAGCGGCGAAAGCCTGAAGGCCAAGGTGGGCAAGATCAGGGAAGCCTACATCGGCGTGGCGATGTCACATCTGTCGAAGGAGGCCGCCACACTGAAGCCTGACTCTCCTGCTCCGCATGGCTCGCAGCAGCGCATTCAGCGATGTCTCACCCTTCTCAAGGTTCTCTCCCTCCCTCCATGTAGGGTTGTGTGTGTGTCCCCTGCACATGACTCACCCTTTGTGTAATGCGGCACAGACCTTTGTGGAAGACTTCGACGCCCGCGGTCGCAAGGCGGCGGCAGTGAGCGCGGCTACGAGCGCGGCCTCTGCCGCCCAGGCGGGTGCCCCCCCGCAGGCTGGTGGCACCGTAAGCGGACCCAGCGGCACCCTTGTGACGCGCCGAGGCGCCGACATGGGTCCGCCAATCTCGTTCTACGTGAAGACTGACCTCAAGCCCTCCTTCACCGTGCATCTGAGGAGCCGCGACACGCTGGGCGCGCTCAAGCGCAAGGTGAGCCAGATTGTCGAGCGCCCGCCCGAACTGCTGTCGGTCTTCATCTTTGAGACGCGCGAGCTGCATGACGACGACAAAACCTTCTACGGTATCTCCCCGCAACCGTTTTTTTTATATATATATATATATCTTTATTATTATTTTGATTGGCAGGAGGCGCTCATCCTTGTGTTGTGCGCTGTCTTTGTGTTGCGCGCTGCTGTCCTGCCTGCAGAGTACAAGATCGGAGATGGATACACGATTTTCGTCAAGCTGCGCGAGCGTGTGGGCGAGGTGAGAAAGAAGCCCAAGAAGAGCAAGAGCGCCGACACCAAGGGCAAGAAGCCCGGTGGCCAGAGCTCCGTCGTACAGGAGGAGGTCAACGAGGGCGTGCCGATCGATGCCCTCATTTTCGAGTTCCTGCAGATGCAGCTGGGCGCGCTCGGACTGCAGACCAATCGCCACATGACCGTCGTCTCGGCGCCCAACGCGCAGCCTACCACCATGATGGGCAGCGTTGCCAACGCTATCGGTATGGGTACCACTTCATCGTCGCTATCACCCAACGCCGCGGCCTCCTCGTCCACCCTCACCGCCGACAAAAAGAAGAACAGCAAGAGCGCGTCGTCGGAGGTGCCTCTTCCTTCCCCTTCTCCTCTTTACTTCGCATCATCGAAGCAGCGGTACTGACGGTGGTGTTCGAATCCAAACAACACAGACTTTGAACAAGGCCAAGGCCGAGAACGTGCATCACCCGGCGCGAATTCTGGCGAGCGAGGGCAACTTCGATCGTCTGTACGATCTTCTGGACTACGGCAACGATATCGGCCGCCAGGTGTGGGAGCTGATGAACCTACTCCCCACGAACCAAAAGATCCTGCAGCAATTCAGGAGTGTCGGCACGTGCCCCCCGCCCTGCCCTCTTCCCATTGCCCTCACTTCTCGTTGACGCCAGGCTTTTGCTTATTGGTTGATTGGTTGGTTGGTTGGTTTATCTTTAGGCGCCGATTTTGATTGGGATGCGCTGTTCAACCCCAAGCACCTGTACAAGCTGATCTACTCGCTCGATGTTGTGGGCAAGCTGATCACCCCTCTCGATAGCGACTCGGTACACATCCGGCACCGCTACTGCGCTGTGCTGCACGTACCAACTCGCTCACCTCCGTGTGCACGTGGAACAGAGCACGGTCGATGTCGAGAGCATCGGCAGGTTTGTATCGCTGGGCGGGGGCAAGCACCTGGTGCGCCTTTTCATGTCCATCGAAAACGATCCCTCGAACCCCGGCCAGCGCGCCGTATTCGCCTCTCTCCTGCGTATCATCAACGCGATCACACTCAGCGGTTAGTCCACTGCCCCTCCTCCCAATCCAACTCCTCCTTTGGTGTCGTAACCGCCCGCCCGCTCATGCTTCATTCGTGTGTTCACCAGGCAAAGAGCAAGAGGGAAGCAAGGCGCAGGTGAACCTGGAGCTCTTCGCCAATGTCAAGCTCAGCGAAATGGTGAACAAGCTGCTTCAAGTCATTTCATCCGCCGCAGGTACACTCTACATAGCTCACCGCTTTCTGCTCGTTGCCTCGCAACTGACGTCGTTTGTGCGCTTTGATGCCGTCTCGCTTCAGCTGAGTCGAAGCAGGAGCCTCTGGAGAAGGAGGAGCCAACTGAGTCGCAGCGTCGCGACGACCCCATGTCGGCCTCGGCGACCGTGGAGGTCGGAGGCGCCGAGACCGTGATCGCCACGCCCTCGGCTACCCTTCCGTCGCCGCGATCGCCCCTCGACAATTCCACCGCCCTCAGCTCGGGCGAGGTCGTCAAGCACGCCCTGGACCTCCTCGTCACCTTTGTCATCGCCAAGGTGCCCCACTCCCCCCCCCCAAATGTACATTTCGTACCACGCCAGGCACTCACCACGCGATGTCATCGAGTGCAGGTGGAGCTGTTGGAGCAGCTGTACGACTACGAGAAGCAGGACGGGTGGGTGGAGCGACTGCTGTTGGCCGCACCCGTGCGTAAGATCCGGCAGGCCGCGGCCAACGACATGCTCCGCCTCTCGCAGCAGGTCGAGAGTGAGGCCCTGCAGAAGCTCGGAGCCGAGCCGCCCGCCAAGCACTTCCTCGAGGCCCTCCTGTCCATCTTGCCCGGCATCACCTCCTACTCAGCCACCTGCCAGCAGGTACCACGACCCCCTCGAGCTTACCGCCTCGCTGTCACTTTTCTTTTCTTTTCTTTTCTTTCTTTTTTGTCTCTCGTGGAATGGGCTGATGGTTCGGGTGGTGCTAGTACTTCTCGCTGTTGCGCGGCCTTCTGAAAAATGACAAGGCCGGCGTAGACGCCCAAATGGCGGGCAAGCTGCTCCACGACCTGCTCCTCCAGATTCGACTCGCGCCAGTTCGTGAGGTACGCCTGACATGCTCATATATAGAAGCCTCGCCCTTAATGGCTGAGCTTCCACCACACTTTCTCTCTCTCTCTCATGTCTTATCTCCAAAACAACAGAGCTCCGGCAACGGACCTGTTGATGAGGTCATCATCGGAATGCTGGGAATCGTCCGCGGTCTCATTCGCAAATACCCGGAGCTCAAGTCTGAGTGCACCAAGGACAAGTACGCTCGGCCTCTCCGTCACCCATTCGAGATCGTGTGCAGGTTTATTGCCCCCTTTTTTGCAGTGCTGATCCCCTCGTGTGCGTATGGGCGTCGTGCAGGGGCGGGCTTGTGGGCCAAGTGTTCGAGCAGTGTCTCTTTGCCTTGCCCACGGCGGAGGAGCACGGACCCACCGCGCCTCCCAAGTGCAAGACTGCCGAATCTCGCACAGCGGCCTTCTCGCTCCTCACTGAACTGGTGCGCTTTCGCTCTCCACAACTTTAGGGAAAATCGCATGGCTGCTGCCTCTCACATTGGCGTTACTCTTCACGACAGGCCAAGGACAATGAGGAGTGCTTCCGCGAGCTCGTCGCGCTGTTGAACTCTCAGCTCAACAAGGGTGCGCACCCGCCCCCGCCCCCACCCAGTCCCTATCTTCGCCCTCCCTCGCACAAGGCCTCACCTCCTTCCCCCCACCACACACACATTACCCAGTTGAGCCCAACGGCTGGTGGATGGTGGGTGGTCGCTTGCCGCGAAGCAAGTACGGCTACGTGGGCCTGCAGAACCAGGGCGCGACGTGCTACATGAACTCCCTCATGCAGCAGCTCTTCCTCATCCCGCGCTTCAGGCAGGGCATCCTTCTCGGTACGCCTTTACCCCCCCCCTTCTCCTGCGGCACGTTGGCGCGTGAGGTGACGGTGAGCGGCTTGCCAATGGCTGATCTTCCATTCATCGCAGCCGACGACAACTCGGCGGACAAGAGCGATTCTCTGCTGTACCAGATGCAAGTGCTCTTCTCCAACCTGATGAAGAGCGTCAAGCGTTATTACGACACCATCGAGTTCTGCGCGGCGTACAAGGTTCGTTTTCTCTGTTTTCCCTCCCCCCGCCACTCAGTGCCATGCTCTCTCACCGCCGCGCACCTGGTGCTCTGCACATGTAGGACTATGACGGCAAGCCTGTGAACACGGGACAGCAAATGGATGCCAACGAGTTCTTCAACAACCTGTTCGCCAAGCTGGAGGACCACCTTAAGGGGTCCGAGGAAGAAAAGCTCCTGAGCGATGTGTTTGGCGGCGAGCTCTCGAACCAGCTCATCCCCAAGGAGTGCACCCATCGGTCCGAGCGGCTGGAGCCCTTCTACAGCTTGTCGATCGAAATCAAGAACAAGAAGGACATCGAGGAGTCGCTCAAGCTGTTCATCGCTGGCGAGATGCTCCAGGGCGAGAACAAATACAAGTGCGAGATTTGCCAGAAGGGCCGCGACACCCTGAAGCGATGTTGCATTGCGGTACCGCCCTCTCACACTCAGTTGTCGCCCGACTTAACTGTATCTGTCTCGCTTTGTGCGCACACGCGCCAACACACTCACCGCCAACTCGACGCCCGGCGCAACGTGACATCAACACCACTGCTGCAGAAACTGCCGCGCATCATGATGCTGCATCTCAAGCGCTTCGAGTTCGATCTGGAGAAGATGCGGAACGTCAAGTTGAACGATCGCTGCGAGTTTCCGATGTCGCTCAACATGGAGCCCTACACGAAGGAGTACATCGGCCGGCAGGAGCTGGACGCTGCCAACCTGCGCATGAGCCAGGACCGAGACGACGACGACGTGCCTCGCTACCCGCCCGAATACTACGAGTACCAGCTCGTGGGCATCGTGGTGCACCAGGGCAGCGCCGACTCGGGTCACTACTACTCGTTCATCAAGGTACATATCACGCCCGCGCACAGAACTCAAAGGGTTGCGCGCGAAGGCGCAATGCATTTGATGGTCCGTAGCTAATGCTCGCACCCATCATTAACAACACAGGAGCGCGTGCCGTTGGAAGAGTCGCGAGAGGCTGCGTGGTTCGAGTTCAACGACACCAACGTGATTCCGTTCAGCGCGGATCGTATCCCCTACGAGTGCTTCGGCGGCGAGGAGGAGGTGATGGTCTACGATCGGGAGAAGGGCACAGCCAAGAAGGCCATGCGCCCGAAGATCAATAACGCCTACATCCTCGTCTACGAGCGTAAGGACGTTGACCTCAACGACTGGGGTACTCCCCTTATTCTCCGGCTGTGTGTGTGCGGTCGTGCGTGTGCGTGTGTCAGTGAACTCAATCCTGCGCATTTGTGTGTTTTGTCTCAACAGCGAAGCGGCAGCTCGAGAAGGAAGAGCGGAAGAAGGGCAAGAGGCGCAACAAGGCGGAGCCGTCGGAATCCAACGAGAAGGACGGTAATCCCAACAAGGCCGCCGACCAGGAGAGCGACGACGAAGCGGCCGTCGGCGGCGTGGCGGACAACAGCGGAAATGAGTCCGAGGATTCGCGCTCGGAGCCTTTCATGACCCCGTCCCACTCGGCCTCGTCGCTGGTCGACATCGAGAACGCGGCCGCCATGATGAGCCCCAAGGGCGAGCGCGACGACAAGAAGGAGGAGACACGGCCCGAGTCACCGGAGAACGGCCCCGGAACCAACGGCGAGGAAGGCAACAAGCACGAGGGCGCGGCGACCGAGCTGGTGGTGGCTGTCTCGCAGGAGAAGCCCGCGTCGCCCGACGCCCAGCCGATGCCCGTGCAGCAGGTGTTCTCCGGCGGCGAGATGGCCAAGTCGCCATCCTTCCTCGCCCTGCTCTTCCTCGGCAAGCTGGCCAACGTTGTCAAGAAGAAGCAACGGTTCGTCTCCACACAGCACGCACGCACGCACACGCACACAGTCGGTTGGTTGGTGTGTGGCTGGTTCGTTTGATAGACCGTTACTTACTTGATGTTGCTTTTCCTCCTTCTTTTGTTCTCTTCGACAGAGAGGAAGAGCTCAAGCGTCGCCGCGAACAGCAGAAGAGGTTCCGCCAGGGCCTCTCCTCCTCGGTCATCCCGGAAGAGATCATGAACTATGTGTGGGAGGAGAACCGGGTATTTTTGACCGAGAAGTACGCTCACGACGATGACTTCCTCAAGGTGCGTTGCCCCGCCCCCCTCGGCTCGTGAAACGCTCTGCAACCTTCTCGCACAGCACGAGCCGGCGCAGCACAGCTAAACTCGTGCTTGGGTGTTGCTCCACTCTAGTTTGTGTGGGACGTGACGCATCTCTACAACGGGACGGAGAACAAGGGCGAGCCGACCATGGCGACGGTCCAGTTCACCACGCGCTTCATGATCGAGATTGGGTCGCGCACCCGCACCGACACCCACATGTTCGACGTCTGGGTGCAGCACCTGAAGCGGCTGTACACCGACAACCACGAGGCGTGCCGCTGGCTCCTGACCATGCTGAGCAAGGACGACGACAAGTTCGTGTCGCTCCTGCTGCACTGCCCCATGGAACGGGTCCGACGCGCCTTCGCCTCGATCATCCTGCACGCCATGCACCAGCTTCTCCCGCAGGAGCGACACCTCTACCCGCGCTACATCGCCATGGTAACCCTCACCTTCCGTGTGTGCTGTGTAGTCGTGTGTGTGTGGTGTGTGTGGTCTTCTCTCTTTTTGGTTGACGCCTCAACATCCGCAGCAGGCCAGCGATAGCGATGATGAAAAGGGCGAGGAGGACAAGCTCGGGACGCCAAGGAAGGACAAGGGGAAGGGGAAGGAAAAGGGCGACGGCGACGGTGTCCAGGACGAGGAATCGCCGGCGGTGCTCCAGTTCGTCGAGTTCCTCATCTCGTTGCTGAAGACCGTGCGCAGGAACCTGCGGCACTCGGCGCAGTACTTCAATCTCCTCTACGACTTCGTGCTCACCAGCCTGGAAGAGAAGAAGTACTTCCTCGCTCGCCACATCGTCCGCGAGTACATCGAGTTCTACCTGCAGACGGGCAAATTCGCACCCGTCGCCCTCCGACGCGGAACCAAGGACGTACGTGCCGAATGCCGCGCCTTTGGGTGTCGCTTGTGAGGCTAAGCCGTGTGCTCGTTGCGTTCTCTTCCTGTGCAGGAGGCGAGGCGCTATCGACCCACGGCCGGCGGGCAGACGTCGACGGCGTCGGCAACGAAGATGAACGCGCCCAGCCTGGCGGGGCTGGTGCAGACCATCGCCGTGTTGGTCCGCCACACGGACCCCCGCAACGAGAAGGGCTCGCTGCCACCCACTCAGTACGACCCCGAGAACGTACTCGAGTTGCCCAACAAGGACCGCGACCTGCTCATCAACTCGGTGCGACGCGGCCTTCTACCTTGTTTGCACGCTCCACGGCACTAAGGCCCTAACGCGCAATTTCTGTTCCTTTCCCAATGTAACTGTGCAGGCGTTCATTATCCGGCTCATTAAGGACGGGGCCGACCCGCTGGCCACGATCGATATCCTCAAGCACTACTCGTGGGAGGACCGCAAGAGGTCGAAGATGTTCTTGGTCGACATCAAGGACGTCCTCAACAAAGCCTCGTCCGAACAGCTCCGGCTCTACTTCCGCATCATCAAGCATCTCTTGCTCATTCAGGTACCACACACACACACACACACACACCACACAACGACACGCACGACACCACGTTGCGTCTTCTCACCCTCTTTACACAGGACTCATCGCAAGATTGGAGAATCGAGTATGCTCTCGTGGCGCTGCACAAGTCCCTCGGCCACAGCAGCATAACGAGTACGTGTGCCTTCGAATGTTGGGTATGTGGATAGAGTGCGACTCACGCACTCAACCATGCAGACAAGGAAACGGTGGGCGCCTGCATCAAGTTCATTCAGAAGCTGTCGGAGAAGAACGACAAGGTCAAGGCGTGGCTGGTCAAGAACAAGACCATCTCCAACGAGATCGTCGAGCACCACCAGCGGTTGATTCAGGCCGAGAAGGAGAAAGAGGCCGCCGCCTCCGGAACCGGCGGCTCGCGCTCCGCCTTCTCGTTGGCCAAGACCCTGCACAAGTAGGTCTCACTTGCGGCAGACGCGTCTGCTCTTTCTGGCCTGTACATTTTTCTCGCGTTTATTACATTCTTGGCATAGCGTTCTTTGAATGCCGTTCAGTTGACCAATCATCGAGGAATGGAATTCGATTACTCCGAACCAAATTCTCCGGAACCACCCGCTGGTGTCTACTTCTTTCGAAAATCGATCAAGGCAGAGAGATTAGAACTCGTGTGTGTAAGTCATCAAGAACAAGCCCCAATCGCCTCCCATTCAAACAACAAACATGTCGTGCTGTGGTGGATCGCCTGCTGCCCCTCCCCCGAGCCAAGCTCTTCCCTACAAGTACCTCTTCAAATACATCATCGTCGGCGACACGGGTACGCACTTGTGCTGTACTCGACGGGATAGGATTGCCCTACCCAACGGCCTGATGTTGTTTGTCTGCCATTTTCTTCTGTTGTGTATATTTCTAATGAATCTGAATCGGTTTGCCGCAGCTGTTGGCAAGTCGTGCCTTCTGCTCCAGTTCACCGACAAGCGCTTCCAGCCTGTCCATGGTGCGTTTCGGGTCCCTTCTCATTTCGTGGCCTGTCATCTCTAATCAGACCCCCCTTTTAAAAATGCTGTTGCAGATTTGACGATTGGTGTCGAGTTCGGCTCGAGGACTCTTACCATTGAGGACAACCAAGTCAAGCTCCAGATCTGGGATACGGTAAATCCCAGCTCCCCACATTTGTGTGGCATAACAGTTCCATTAATTATGGAGATCTGTTAATTATTGAGATTTGGCATCAAGGTTGCATTCAGTGCAAGGCGATCTCACCCTTCTTTTCCAGGCTGGTCAAGAGAAGTTCAGATCGATTACCCGTTCCTATTACCGCGGCGCTGCTGGCGCTCTGCTCGTCTACGATATTACCAGGTACGCTCGCCAACATCTCGACCCCTTTTGCAATCTCGTTGCAGAATTCAACTCACAACCTGTCTGTGCTCCATCTCCTCGCAGGCGTGAGACCTTCGAGCACCTTACGTCGTGGCTCGAGGACTGCAGGAAGTACAGCAACAGCAACATTGTCATCATGCTGATCGGCAACAAGTGCGACTTGGAGAGCAAGAGGCAGGTGAGCAAGGAGGAGGGCGCTGCCTTCGCCAAGGAGCACAACCTGCTCTTCCTCGAGACCTCCGCCAAGACCGCTGAGAACGTCGAGCAGGTGCCCACCCCTTGCTCTTCCCTGGCTCATTCGAGTACACCAAGCTTAGTGCAAGCGAGCATTTACTGATGCACTGTGTCCGTTCCTCCTCTTTTTGCAGGCTTTCATCAACACGGCCAGGACGATCTATGAGACCACGCGGGAGGGTGACATCGACTGGGAGCACTCGACCCCCAAGTAAATAACCAATCGAATGACCCGCACCACGGCGGAAGCGGCCACCGACCAGAACCAATGTTTACAAGCCCCACCTAACGAAGCGGCCTGCCCCATCACCACCGGCCCTCTTCGCTTTCTGTTCGTTCTCGCCTCTGCCCCTTGAGTTTTGTTCTTACCCTTCTGTCCTTTCCCTTGTGTGCATTCCTCTTCCCTTGTCTCCCCACCTTTGCTTTTATGGGGTGCGCCCTCCCTCCGTTGAGAATGACCACCGCCCCTGCCTTTTGTGAGATACACCCCTTGCCCTTCTTCTATGCCTCATATCACTCTATGGTGTTACACCCCGGTTCATGAGTGTGGTTCATGAGTGTGGTTCGTGAGTGTGATTGGGCATTGTACGCCAAAGTTTGTAAAGGAGAGGGAAGGCGTGTGTGGTCAGATGTGGTGAAGGCAGGACAGGTGGGCGAGAAGCTGCAGGTCACATTTTCAGTAAATAGGAGCCAAAAAGATATGCATCCGCCGGGAATTGAACCCGGGTCTCCCGCGTGGCAGGCGGAAATCTTGCCACTGGACCACGGATGCCTTGCTTGCCAGCATGTCTTTCCGCCTCAGTTTTGACCCATCCTGCCTGTGGCTGTGTTTGGTGATTTTGTCACTGTGATTGGCTTGCACCAATATTCTACCTTTCAAAGTTGGATTTTTCCAGCTGTGAAGTTTCATCTTTTGTGTGAGATGTGTGTGATCCCAACTTACAACATGGGCAAGAGGAAGTGTCACCTTTCTTTGGCCATGAAATGTTAGCTTTGTGTTACCATCCACCAAGCATCTTAACAATGACTGGGAAAGTGGATGGCTGCCCTAGTGTTTGGCTCCTCTTTTACCCATCCACAGGTTTGAAAAGCATTATGGGAAATAGACCTCCACTGGGCTTGTTCACTCTCCTTCCAACAAGGACCCCAAAAAAGCAGTTTGTTTGCACAATTTTTGGCTAGCACCAAAGTTACAGATACTCCACCTGCAGTAAAACCCAGCAAGCCCAGGTCATTGTGGCGGATGCCCTGCTGCCTGTTCTTACCTTCGAGAGAAGGGGCCAGTGTAAGACATTGTGGCCGAGTGGTTAAGGTGCCTCGCTGCTAACGAGGTGGGGTTTCCCCGCGCAGGTTCGAATCCTGCCAATGTCGATGGATCTTTTTCACACCACTGTGTGTTTGATGGATTGTCTAGCCAGGCATTTTATCTTCAGGAATAGTGCTCCAATTCAGCACAAATGTGATATCGAGGGACATGAGATGAAAATGATTTCATAAAAACTGGGAATTTGAGTTAAAAGTGATTGTATCAGTGTGAAATGGAGTGGAATTTTAACTTCTGGAATAGTGCTCCAATTCAGCACAAATGAAGAATGAAGTTCCATCCATGAGTGCAACTGACTGAATATGGTGTGAGGTTGTACATGAACTGGATGTGAGAGTAGCATGTTGGCCACTGATCATATGGAATTGATGGAGGGTATGAAAGTAAAAGCAAGGTGCATTTTGAAGTTGATCACAGGACCACTAACACAAAACAAGCTAAGTTCAGATTTTCCAGATCACATACAGTATTGGTAGGTTGAACATGTACTCATTACACATGCATATGCAATAAAGAAGTGTCTGGTTACACCACACCAAAATGGCCACTGCCTTTTTCAGGGTGTATTGCCTCATGAAGTTGTTTCACAGTTGTTTGTTCACTCACCTTTGATCTGACTGTTATGGTGAGAGTTGTGATGTGTGGTTGATTGCAGTGGAAATGATGACATTTTTTTTGCAAATTTGGGACTGCATAGGAAGATCCCAAACATGTTTGGGCAATAGGGCTGCCTAGGTGTTCTTTTCATGATTTCAACCTCCTGGTTTGCATGTCCCACAGGACCTGAACCAGGCAAACTAGCTGTGGCTCACCACATTTTTTTCAGCACTGCCTAATAGTCACTCATTCTCACCTGTTTCTGCCCAAATCATCTGGCTGCAGGTCACATTTTCAGTAAATAGGAGCCAAAAAGATATGCATCCGCCGGGAATTGAACCCGGGTCTCCCGCGTGGCAGGCGGAAATCTTGCCACTGGACCACGGATGCCTTACTTGCCTGCAGGTCTCCGCCAGCCTCTTGCATCTTCTTGCTAGCCGTATGGCGATGTCCTCATTGCCGCTCATTTTCTTGGCTCTCTTGTCTGACACCCTGCCATTGCAGGCTGAAGTGGCGGACACGCAAGTGGAGTGAAGGTGAGGTTATATCTATTAGACTTGGATGGCTCACAGAACGCTTCCGTTGAACGACCCACGCGTCCTGCACGTTGCATGAAGGTCGGCTTCAAGTGCGCATCTGGGATGTCAGCATGGGCGGCTTCTCGAGGTTCATCGTGATGCCCATGGGGAAGCCTTCCTCCTTAATCCGTCGGATGGTCTGCTCCATTATGTCTCGTCCCTGCGTGGCGCAACAACACAAGCCAACCAAGCAACCTCGTGAGCAAAGCAGGAGCATGCATGCACGTGCAAGGAGAAAGAAAAGGCAAAGGAAGTTGGTACCTGGATGGCTGCATTGCGGAATCTGTCGAGGCAAAACTTTTCCATGCGTCTGGCAAGACCGAAGGTGTAGGCGGTGACGGCGCCCTCCTGTTCGAAGAAGGTGCCGTTCTCGTCTTCGGTGTAGATGCAGGTCTCCTCCATCTCAGCGAGATTTTGGAAGGTGAGATTCTTGCCCTTCAGTATCAGTCTCTTGTTCTTCGGATCCGTGATCGATTCCTCGAGGAAGAAGCAAACGTTGTTCCCGGCAAGAGGCATCCACGAGGGGACCCAGCTCTTGAGCATCATCAATCGCGTGGCCTTGAGCACGCCCGTCGCTTCATCGAATTCCTTGTTGATGATGTCTACGCACAGTACGTCGGGGCGACGAGGATTCGGCCACTTCTTCCAGCTGGCGATGGCGCAATCCTCCCAGGAATGGCTGTGTGAATTTGCGCGGTTGCGTATACGGGTTGTTAGTCACGGGCGTTTACCAGCAGGCGATTAATGTAAAGGCAATGAACGTACTTGAAGGTGTGTTCGAAGGTCTCCCTAACGGACATGATTGATTCGAAAGATTGAATAAAGAACTAGAGCAGGGGTTGGGGGTTATGAATGCCAAAGGCAATTTCAGGAAATGAGTCGATCGAAGTGCTGATCTCAAGAGATGTCTCCCCTGTGTAATCTTTCCGCCTTGCGCCGTGGTGCGGGTCCAAGTTTCCAGGAACAAAGAAAGAAAAACTGGCGCCGCTCGACTATTTGTACCTGCGCGGCAGGCCCAAAGGCCCAAGCGGAAGCTACCGACAGATGCGCGACCACGAACGGGCATTTCCAACATTGATTGGATGTACATTGATGTTGAATGGTACAACTGCAAGATCAAAAAGACTTGAACATGAGCGAGCCTTTCCCCCCCCCCAAGTCTAATTCGTTAAGGTGCCTGCTGCGCCTCTTCATCACTGGGAAGGAGGAGTGTGGAAGACTTGACTCACGGGAGTTCGATAACAACAGGCGAGATAGCCCCGACTCTCGCTACTTGGAGTGCAACCCTCATTGCAATTTAAATGCCGTCTTAGGGGGAGGAGCACATGAGGGTGGCTTCGATCCCGTGGTGACTGAGTACTAGAGGCTCTGCGAGCAACACCTCCCAGCCCCACGAAAACCAAGGCCTGGTGCGTGGTCAGCCGCGAAAGAACGAAAGCGGGCGAGCGTTATAAGACCAAAAAACGTCAGCGAGATGACCAAATTGCTAGTTCACCCGAAAGACGCGCCCGCCTGATTGGCGAATGCCGCCACACCAGGGTGCGTTGTGTCTCCTTATGCCAACTGAGTGCCCACCAAACGATCCCCTACTGCTATGAGTGCTCTAGGCACATGGATCCACGACGTGCAGGAAAACTTCGGGATATGTCGCAGCCACGAGGTATCCGGTTCACGCTGGTGTGGGTGACATTAGGTCCCACCCAAGGTATATAACATCCTCGACACTCCTCCTCCAAACTCATCAAAGCGAACTGCTCAGCTCACTCGACCAGCTCTCTCTCCAACCAACTCGAACACTCCATCCAGCTTGGCCTGCTGTTTCTGCTTTGTTTCGACTCATCGCCCATCTGCGATCATGAAGACAACCTACCTGCTTCTGGCCTTGGCCGCTCTCCTCTTCTGCGCCGTCGTGGCCGCCTCGGCTGACGACGACGACCGACGTGGCTCTGACATGAATCACTGGGACGATGACGACGAAGGTAGAGCTGACGTCTTCCTTACCGTTGCTTTGACGCAATTCTTAGCAGTGAAAACTAACTTCTTCTCTTTTCAGGGCACGAATGGGACAACGAGTGGGAGGACGAGGAGGACGGCGAGGGACGCGGTCGGGGCCAGTGGGACGACGGGCGCGAGAAGTGCCGCACCACTACCAAGAAGTGCCGCACCACGACCAAGAAGTGTGGCACCACCACCAAGCACTGCCCCACCACGACCACCAAGCGCTGCGGCACCACGACCAAGGACTGCGGCACCACCACGACTAAGAGCTGTGGTACCACGACCAAGGACTGCGGCACCACGACCATGAAGCCTTGCACCACGACCAGCAAGCCGGTCGAGAAGTGCGACTTCGCCGGGCGTGACAACTGCCTCAAGGCGAGCGAGGACAAGTTTGAGGAGTGCGTCGACCGCAAGAAGTGCGCCTTCACCGTGTGCGAGCTCGAGGCCGAGGAGAAGTTCAAGAAGTGCCTCCGCGGCCGCGATGGTCGCGATGGCGGGAGGGAGAACCCCTTCGAGCGCGAGGGCGAGAACGACCGCCAGGGTAACGAGAGGTTCGACCAGTGCAAGAAGGAGCAACTCGAGGACAAGAAGCAGTGCCTCATCCAGCGCAAGGCCTCGCACGCCGGCTGCGTGGCTGCTAAGGAGTGCCGCGACTTCAAGTGCCTGGCCTTCATCAAGGACTGCAAGCCGTGCCCGACTCCCGCCGCCACCACCACCACTGTCCGCGTCACCACCCATCCTCCTACCGTGGGCTCGTCGTGCCCGGCCGAGGACTTCTTCGGCCCCGCTGCCGATCTGAACGTCCTGGTCACCGGCTCGGACAAGCTCATCTACGATCTCGACATGGTGAACGGTGACGTTGAGGGCCGCGTCGCTGTCAACGGTGGCTTCCGCGTCAAGTCCTTCGGCACCGCCCAGGCCTACTCGTGCCCTGGTACACCCTTCGTCCCTTCGCCAATCCGCTTGCATTCTAGCACAAAAACTGGAGTGCTGATTGGCCGTAACCCACAACACACACACACAGACACGGCCAACTACGCCAGTATGTTCAACCTGATCGTCAACGGTAAGATGGACTACTCGAACGGCCAGCTGTTCTGCGGCTCGTCGATCTCGTTGAGCAGCATGAACGACCCGTCGCTGCGCCAGAAGGACTTTGGCGCCACCAACGCCAGGGTGGCCGCCGGCAAGACCATCAAGGACGTGACCGGCTTCGACTTCGTCGCCACCGCCGGCTACCTCCAGGGCGTGAGCAACTACTTCTCCAAGTACGCGCCGGGCACGCACAGCCACTTCCGCGTCACGGAGGTCTCGCCTGCCGACGTCAACAAGCTCAACATCGAGGGCGGCGACTACGTGCAAGTGATCAACATCAAGGGCTCGGGCGACATCAACTTCTCCAACTTCGAGATCCCCACCGCGCTCAACCCCTCGCAGGTCATCTACAACGTTGTCGGCAACAACAACATCAAAATCTCGGGCTTCGGGGTACGCCAACAACAGTCTCCCACTCACTTGTTCTTCAGTTATCGTGATGCTAACCAACCATTGGCGCTCTCAACGCACAGCTCAAGGGTCACCTGCTGGCCCTCAACTCCGACGTGGTGCTCGAGAACGGCCACGTCGCGGGCAACGTCTACGTCAGGTCGCTCGTTGGCCAGGGCAGCGGTCAGGTCAACCTGGCCCCCTGCCCTTGAGGCGCTCCCACACTCACGGATGAGATCAAGGGTCCTTGATGCTGTCGCAACCGGCTGTGCTCCGGTTGCGAGGCGTTCCATCTCGAGGGAGGACTACCCTCCTCGCCCTCGAGACCTTCTCTCCTCTTCCTCCTCTTCTTCTTTCGATTGTTGTTCGTACAGCGAACTCTCTCCATTTTCTCTCAAGTAAATACAACACACACTTGTGCTTCCACTTCTTCATGTAGGCCACGTTCGATTCAATTCCCTCGCGAAGCACCGCCGGGCTGGGTCTGGTGGCCTCGGTCCCGATGCTTCCTCGTGTTGGCCGGCAGACCGCTCGAGTGCTTGGAACGGAGGGGGATGAAGTCTCGCCCGTCGGCCTGTCTCTGCCGCGCCCTCTTGTCCAGAGCCACCCAGTCCCCACCCCCCTCGACCAGAGCCTTGTCTGTCACTGCAGCTCCAGTCGGGTGTGAGTAGGCGAGCAGTGAATCGAGCGTTCAGCTGATGATGTACTCTCTGGCTTGGGGCGAGCCTCTTGGATGACGGGCTCCGCCATGCTCAAGTGGTTGAAGAAGAGTAGGGCCTGCATGTGTGAGCTAGCGGTGTGAGTGGTGAATAAATGGTGGCTGGCTCAGGCTGATGGATAAAAGTGTGTGCCAGAATTACATTCTGTAGACCTCAAGAGCCAGCAGGGTGAAGGGGACAGTGCATGCTCTTTGTCAGGGTTATCTTGGGGTTCCACACCCGCAAGCTCCACCGCCAACGCCATCACGTGAAGTGGTGCGTGCAGCCCATTGGCCGATGGTGAAATTTCCACCATAACTTTTCCGCCGACGAACCTGCTAATCAACTCGAATTGCTGAACCTGATTTCTCATCCACACAAAGCAAAGGGGGTGGCCAGCTGCTGGTGCCCGAGCTGCTCAATCGATTGGCTGCCTCTGATATCTGATTACTCCAGATCCAATGGCCTCGACCACGATGCTGCCCGAAAAGGGGTTGGAGAATCGACCTGGCCAAAACAATTGCTTTCTGAATGTTTGCATCCAGGCGCTGTGGCACCTGGGCGCCTTTCGGTCTCAGTTCCTTACCAGCAAGGATCACGTGCACAAGGAAAACTCGTGCATCTATTGCGCCCTCAAGGTTGCGACCCCCCCCCAAGCACCATCTTTGCCTTACGCCCAACGAGGGTCCTTCTTCTCCATCATGAAGGTGAAGCTGAACATTTGTATTTGCCCTTTGCCGGTGCAGGTTCTGTTCAATGGGTATCAGTTCAGCGAGGAGCAGGTGCTGCCACCCACTGCGTTGCGAAACACCCTCGCCGTACTTCATCGCGGCCTCGATCGCTTCCAAGTGGGCGAGCTCGACGATGCTGCCGAAGCGCTGGTGCCCGCTTTCTTTCATGATCGTCTCATTGACTACCGCACACCCACTCATCGCCTTCTCGTGCATGTGTCACATATATCGTGAGTACAGGAGGCCATCCTCACATGCTTGAACAAAGTGTACCTGGTGAAGGGGAACGAAAGAGCGAAGAAGGCCGACGAAAGCAACCCCAACTCCATCTCGAACAAGGTCTTCGGTTGCCCCGTCGTCGAGATCGTGCAGTGCGGTACGTCGGTTGCGGTGCCTCGTCGTCATCTTCTCGTCCGCTCGCTCACAAGCCCTCTCTCGTCTGCTTCACACAGGCAAGTGTAAAAAGGAGATTAAGCCGCAGGGATCCGACTCGTTCATCTACTACACCTACGTCACCGAGGTCAGGTCAGTCTTACACCCCACCATCTTGTGATGCGTCCACTTATCGGGCGATTGAGCGGCACATCGCCACTGATGCTCTGACTGGTTGCCAAAAAACACAGAGAGGAGCACAAGAAGTACCCCGACCTTCAGTTCGACAACTTGCTGAAGCGGCTGAGCGACGGCGTGACCCGCAGCTGCCCCAACGACGTACGTCAACCGACCTTTCCCATCTTTGGTTTGAAGCCTTCAGTTTTGTCTGTGTTGCTCACCACGCACCATCTGCGCGCACACGCGAAGAAATGCGAAGAAAAGAAGTGCACGGTGCGCAAGGTACTGCTGCAGCAGCCGCACGTGTTTGCCGTCGGTCTGGTGTGGCCCACGCCCAATCCCACGGCCTATGAGATCGTCGACATGCTGTCGATCATCAGCCAGCAGATCAGGCTCAGCAACATCTTCAACGGAGTTCCCGTGCAGGTCAGTCTCTTCTTCTTCTTCTTCTCCATCTCATCATCTGGAGACCTCTTTAGAGAGCCTTACGTCTTGTTTTTTATTCCAGTTCACCTACCGGCTCAAGGGCATGATCTGCTACTACGGCCTGCACTACGACTGCTACTTCTACTCACCACAGCGAAAACAATGGCTCGTGTTCGACGACCGCGTAGTCAAAGAGGTACCATCATCTACTCTATGGCCTTATGTGTCTGTGGTGCGACACACGTATATAGATATATATACGTGTGTGTGTGTGTGTGTGTGATGCTGGCCTGTTCCGTGTTTTCGTTTGGGGAGTACTCGCTCGCCGCGCGCCATCGCAGCCCCGAATTGCGGCTGGCAGCGGCATGCCGGCAAGCAAGGCATCCGTGGTCCAGTGGCAAGATTTCCGCCTGCCACGCGGGAGACCCGGGTTCAATTCCCGGCGGATGCATATCTTTTTGGCTCCTCTCTCTCCTGTCCTGCCTCACCACATCTGCGGTGCTTGGATTGACGGCGGTGTGTTGGCGTGGTAGGTGGGCGCGTCATGGGAAGAACTGAAGGATCGCTGCCGAAGGGGCCGATTTCATCCGTCGGTGCTATTCTACGAGCGCGTCGAAACCGGCGCGCCGCTTCCCACCACCTTTACACCCAAGTTCAACCCGCAGGTCGGTTCCTTCATCTCTCTACTTTTCCTCCGGCGCCTTACGCTTTACTCACACGCTACACTCCTACACTCTACACACATCGCACACGCACAGCCGATCACGTTGAACCGCAACATGTTCACAGCATCGGGGCCGGCCGTGCCCGGCTTTTCGCTGGCTCCTCCCTCGGCGGCCTACCCCGGCATGCCGCACCCCGCGTTCTCGCCCTACCACCCCCACCACCCTGGGTTCGCTCGGGGCTACATGCCCCCCGGCTACGCCCCGGCGCATCCCCACCAGCAGCAGCACCCGCCCAACGGCATGCCGACTCCGGCGGCCGTGGCGCCGGCACTGCAGCAGCAACAGCAGCAGGAACGGGCCGAGAATGAGCGAAGGCAGGAAATGGCCGAGAGAGCCGAGGCCGAGCGGAGGAAGAGGCAAAAGGAAGCCGAAGAGCAGCAGCAGCAGCAGCAGAAAGAGGCGGAGGACAAGCGGCGTCGAGAGGAGGAACAGCGGAGGCAACAACAAGCGGCGGCAGCGGTGGTTGAGCAATCGTCGGATGAGGAGGGCACGAGCGGGGACGAAGATGAGAGATCGGAGGAAGAAGAGGAGGAAGGTGAGACTGGAGGGGAGAGCGAGCGGGAGGCCGCGGCCAAGCGGCTGGCCATGCCCGCTCCTCGCGCGGAGCCGCCCAAATCGCTACCGGCGCCGCTCGTCCCCACCTACGCGCCGCCACCGGCTTCCCCCAGCCCTCCTGCGCTGACAGGATCGTCGTCGTCGATCTCGTCGGCGTCCGCGCCGCCCTCGGCCCCGCCGCTTTCCTCCGGCTCTCCGCCCGTCATCACCTCATCGCCGTCGTCGCCGTCGGTGGACGCCTCGCCCTCGGCCCCGCCGCTCTCCTCCAGGTCTCCGTCGCCCCCCGTCGTCAGCTCATCGCCTCCGCCGCCGGTGATGGTCGAGGACCTGCTGTCGACAGAGAACATTTCCTCAGCCGGCCCGCCGCCGGTGATGGTGGAAGACCTGCTGTCCACCAAGAACGCGGTTGCCGTCAGCTCGCCCGTGCCTGCGCTGCACCGACACGTCCCCACGACGACCAGCGCTACCACCACCGCCGCCACCACCGCCAGCGCTCCCCGCAGCGCGCCCTACACGCCGTCCTTCACCCCGGCTGCGGTGGCCGCCCGCGCTCAGCAGCCGCCTCCTCACGCGTATGCGGAGCTCAACTTCCCGTCGGTGCCCACCGCGCTGCCGTCGGCGCCCACGCCGTCAGCTCCCGCCTTGCACTCGTCCACCCAGGCCCCGTCTGCGTACAGCCACTCGACCAGCGACAGCAAGCAGCAGCAGCCCTCGATCATCGGTACCTCTCCTTGCGCTGTGTCGCGCGTGTGTCATTCCGCGTGCCGCGCGTGTCGTGTGTCGCGCCGCGTGTGTCATCTGTCGTGTCGTATACTGTGTGTCGTGTCGTGCGGTGTGCTCATGTGCGCTGTATCGACATCGCAGGCGCAGTCGACAGCTACGACGACTACAGCTCCAAGATCGATTCGATCGGTCAATCCAGATACCTTTCCCTCTCCAAGCCCGCGTACAGCTCATCCTCCTCAACTCCGTCCACTTACTCCCGTCCTTCCACCACGGCCTCTCTCTTTTCCTCCTCTTCGTCGTCATCATCTTCCTCCACACGTCCCACCACCGCATCGCTCTTCTCTTCCTCCTCCTCGTCTTCGTCTGCCAGCCGCGCTACATTTGGCGCGTCCACTTCATCTTCTTCATCTGCGGCCACTGCCCCGAAGAAGAAGCCGCAGACGTCGGCCTTCACCAACCTCAGCTCCCTTCTCTCCAACTAAACGATTATCAATTTGTTAATTCTATTTTTTGTTTCTTTTTTTTTGATTATTTATTTTTGCAATAAATGAACAAATACTTATGAGTTGAGCAATTCTTCGTCGGGGAGGGAGTTGACAAAGTCCATCAGGCTCTTGTGTGCCGGGGCGTCGATGCCCTCCTCGAAGTAGACGCTCATGTGCGGAATCCACGCGTGGTGGTCCTGCTGCTTGCGCTTCACCGACGACGACGAATGGATCCCGATGTGCTGTGTGTGCACCGCCGGAAGGTGTGTGTGAGAGAGAGAGAGAGACAACCAAAGTGGAAAAAAACCTGTGGCGGGTGGGCAAGAGGAGGAGTACCTGGAAGAGGTGCGGAATGTTCTCGTACACGGTGCCGCCCACTTTGCGAGCGCAATCGCTGACCAGCAGGTCGACTCCTGCATGTGCACTGCAAGTGTAAGCAGCTGGAAGAGTGGGTGCAATCAATGGGAGTGGTGGCGGCTACGGCGCGTACCGTGTTTGGTGACGCGGTAGTCGTTGGCCATCACGCACTCCATGGTGCGATCGAGCAGCGGGCCGGCCTTGAACAGCTGTGCCTGCGCGCAAGACCGGGAGATGGTGGGCCATATCCCCTCAGGTTTCCTGGGGGCGAGGAAAGTACGAAGGAAGAGCGAAGGACGAGCGTGAGCGAGCGAAGAGAACGAAAGCTCGTCGAAGACACACACACACACACGCACGCACACGCACACGCACACGCACACGCACACACACACACGCACACGACGCACACGCACACGCACACACCTCGTTAGGTTGAAGCTCTGCTTGGAGATGCAGATGGGGGCCACCAAGGCCGCGGCCACCACGTTGGCGACGATGAAGGCGCACACGAGCGTGTTCCAATCGCGCATCACGATCGCCTTCACCTCCGCGCGCGACCACACGCCCACCTGGCCGTGGCCATGTCGATCGCCCTGCGCCCATGGGGTCGAGGTGAGCGAATGCGCCACCGCGCAGGCGTGCGGAGAGGTTCGACGAACCGCAGAGACCCGCCGCGAGTGTGCGACGACGAGGAAGACGACGTAGGCAGCGATGGCGACGAGGCCCCACGCGACGCCGTACGACACGAAGAAGACGACGTCGCGCGCGTGTAGGTAGAGGTCGTACTCGTCGTACTGCACCGCCATGTAGAGCTTCACGAACGCCCACTCCGACGTCGCGCTGTCGCTGCCCAACTGCGCGTCGGCGGCCTCGAGCTTGTGCAGATTGGGCAGCAGCCGCGAGTACCAATGGTCCGCCGCCCACACGTCGTCCTCGAACAAAAGAATGTACTTCGGGTTCCTGTGTGTCGTGTCGTGTCGTGCCGTTGGTCGTGTCGTGTCGTGTCGTGTCGTGTCGCGTGTCGTTGTGTGTCGTGTCAGCCACGATGGTGGAGGGTTGGGTGCGCTTCGGATGAACGGTACCGGCTGCGGCATTGGTTGAGGGTGAAGACGTAGTCGTCGCGCTCCTTGCTGAGCCACTGCACGAACGGGTCGGCCCGGGCCTCATCCGCAGTCGGCACATGCGGCGACCCCTCGATCATCTCCACGCCGGGCGTCCGCCGCAGCAGCTCCAGGTCCGCCCGGTACTCCGCCGACGTGTTCCTATCGTCTGCGCGTGTCGTGTCGTGCCATGTGTGTCATGTGTGCGTGTGCGGTGGTGCGTGCGTGTCATGTGTGCGTGTGTGCGTGTGCGGTTAGTGAGAGACAAGAATGGAGTGTGTGAGTAGGTGGGTGCACCTGTGTTGACGATGAGGAGTTGGCTCTTCTTGAGCTGCTTCTCGCTGAGCCCTTCGAGAATGGAGGCCGTCGACTGTAGCAGGTAGCGCGCTCCCGGCCGATCCACCGTCGAGATCACCATGCACAGCTCCTTCCTCGTCTCTGCACACGACACGACACGACACGACACACACCGCACACGCGTGTGAGAACACACGACACACACGACGCTCGAGAGTGTGCGCACACACGCAAAGACGAACTAGGTTGGGTGGCGGGAGCGCCATCGAGGGCGGTGGGGGGCTTGGCGGCGCTGAGCCGGGAGAGGAAGGCGTGGGCGTGGGCGGTGCGCTGGGCGTCGACCCGGAAGAGGTGGTCGCGGTAGGGGGCCGGGTTGAAGGCGCACGAGCCCAGCACGTGCCGGGCGTGGCCATAGAGCAGAAGCCCGTAGACGGCCCACGCCGCGGCCGCCACCCACAACCACCGCACCGCCACCCTCCACGAGAGCCCCCTCTTCATCATCCTTTTCGTTCTTTGTCTGTTTCGTTCTTTGTTTCATTTTGATTTCTTTTTATTTCCTTCTTGACCAACTCCGCAAGTCCTGGAAAATGAAGAAAAACAGTACTTCTTGCGACAAAATAGAGTTTGAGATGGAGGCGCCAGCGGCACAGGGAGAGCTGCTACGAGAGTTCACGAAGCGAGAAAAGGACTTTATGCTGCTCGCCTTGGATGAAGTGCGCCTGCACTATTTTCCCCATTTTATTGAGATTATATTTTATAATGATTTATGTGCCACGATAGGGCAGGAAGGCGTTGAAGGAGGGCGAGGTGCCCGTGGGGTGCGTCATCGTCCACCGGCGAAGGCGAGCCGATGCTGGCGGCGGTGCGGGAGAAGACTCTCGTGTTGACACCGGTGACGACGGCAACGACGACGTGGTGATCGCCACCGGCTACAACAAGACCAACGAGCGACGAGACGTACGTCGAACTGCACGCCCCTCCCTCACTGACCGATCATCGTCATCGTCTTCGTCGTCTTCTAAGCGGGTGCCGGTTGTAACAACATACAGGCCACGCTGCACGCCGAGGTGGTGGCCATCGGCAAGATCATGGACCAGCTCCGCCAGTCCGCCGACCAAGACCCTCGACCCCTCCGCACTCGTTGGAGTACACCCACACACCCACACTCTCTCTTTCGCCCTCGTGTGTGCGGTGTGTGCGTGTGCGGTCGGCTGAGCTCAGCTGCCCTGTGTGTCATGTTGCGTGCGTGTGCGGTGGTGTGCGCGCAGCTGAGCTGTTTGCAGAGAGCGAGCTGTTTGTGACGTGCGAGCCGTGCATTATGTGCGCCGGCGCGCTGCTGCACGCGGGCATCGGGAAGGTCTACTTCGGGTGCTCCAACGAACGCTTCGGCGGCTGCGGCTCCGTGCTGCGGCTCCACGACCAGTCCTTCCCCGGCCTCGCCGGCTACCCGTGCGTGTCGGGCCTCTTCGTCGAGGAGGCCATCCAGCTCCTCAAACAGTTCTACCTCGACGGCAACCCCAACGGTAACAAACACATCACAACGCACACTCGCACTCGTGCTGACACACACACACGACACACACGACACACAGCCCCCAACCCCAAGCGACCACTAGCGACGGCGTCAAGTGGTGAGGAGGAGCCCTCTTCAGTCCAGCCGGCGCCGCAGTAGAAGATGAAGAAGAAAATGAACAAAAAACGATCAAGATGATGATGGTCAGATGGCGCAGCTGCAGGGAGGAGCGGGCGTCGATGGTGTGTCGGGTTCGACGACAACAACGCCGGCCTTGTCACCACCGGTGCTGCCGGCATTGTCCATTCGCTGCTTGACCTGTCGGGCGAGGTGCATGAAGCAGGCGTCGACGCCGTGGCCGGTCATGGCCGACGTTTCGAAGAAGGCCGTGCCGTACTCGTCGGCCAGGTCGCGGCCCATGTCCTCCGACACCTCGCGCTCGCTGTCGAGGTCGCACTTGTTGCCCACCAGCACCTTGCTGATCTCGCGCGGCGCGTGCTGCTCGAGACTTCGCATCCTGTCACCACACACAAAGCGCGTGTGAGTGCGATCGGCAACGACACACGACTCACACACACGCATAGAACGAGAAGAGAAGAGAAGAGAACCGACCAGGTTCGTATGTTACGGAAGGACTTCTTGCTGGTTGTGTCGTAGACGATCGCTACGCCCTGTGCCCCGCGGTAGTAGGCAGTGGTGATTGCCCGATATCGGTCCTGTGTATGAACAGCGATGATGACGATGATGAGTGATTGGGCCAACAAACCGGCACTACACGGGCACTGAGGCTGCGTGGTGGTACCTGCCCGGCTGTGTCCCAGAGCTGGAACGGGACCCGCTTGTCCCCGAACTGAGTAGTACCACAGGCTTGCGGGTGAGATCATCTTGGTTCGATGGGAAAGAAGAAAAGAATGAGCGTACGTACGTCGATGTCCTTGAGGCGGAAGTCGATGCCCATGGTGGCCATCATGTCGGGCTCGAAGCGACCTTCGGCGAACCTGCCGAGCCGGAGCAGGTCAGGCCACCCCATTCAGACGTCAGCCCGCGGCAGCCACGCTGTGCCAGCAAGTAGCGGAGAACGAACCGCAGCAAAAGGCAACTCTTGCCCACCGACATGTCCCCAATAAGCAGCAGCTTCAGCACAGGCTCCTGGCCGGGTGTCCATGCAAGTTAGCTTATGCACCGGTCTTGTTAATTTAATGTTATTATTTTTTCAATTTAATGGTGGAGATGGAATGAAAATGAAAGGCGACGAGTTGATTGATTAATCAGGACTACACCCAGATCTTGTGATGGGCAAGCAGAGCCGTTTCTATTCACCCTTCTAAAGGGCACGTTACCTTCGAGTCTCCTCGCGTGGTCATCCTCGTACACTCAGCGTTGGGTTGCGTTTGAAACGACGTTTTCCGCGGCCTTTTCTTCGGCCAGGCTGGGTTGAGAAGATGAACGTTTTTGTACACAGAGCAAGATGCAGAGACGAGGCGAGAAGATCAAGAAGGCGAAGGAGATGAGGAGAAGCTTGCCGGTGCTCATGCACCGAGTAGCACGTATTTCTTGACCCGGCCGCCGTCGATCTTGAGTCGGCCCAGGGACTGGAGGGTGGCAAGGATGGCCTTGCCCGTGGCATCAAACTTGACGTGCTGCGAGGCCTTGATCTCGTCATCGGTGAAGAAGACGCTGTCGCCCGCCTCCTTCTGCTGGTCGCTGTACACCTGTGCGCGCATGACACAATGCAACCCTTGCGATCAGCAATCACCACACAAGGTCTAACCCGACGTGATGCGATCGAATGATGAAGAAGAAGAGTACCTGGTGTTTGGTCCTCGTGGCGGCGCCCATCTTGGAGGTTGGCAAGGAGAGGATGCGGTACTTCTCCTGCACCACGCTCAGGATCTCGTCGATGGCCGCGTTGACCTTCTGCACGGTGATCCGCCCTCGGATGTAGCTGGCAACCGCTCAACGCATGCGCGCGTATGTGTCAGCACCGGCAGAGCGCACGCAAACAGCACACACAAACCCTACGCGCAGAGAGGGACAGAGTGACAGCGAAGGCTGGTACCTGGGACAGCCGCTGAGTTCCTCCTTCGAGACGGGAGCGAGAGCGGGTATTTGGAATCCCTTCTTCCTCCTGCGTCCCCCCGCCTCCGCGGTCGAGCTATCGTTGCTCTCCGTAGGTGTGGCGGCGACAGACTTCTTGAGTCCGGCCCCGGTGCTCTTTCTGGCCGGTTGGGCTGAGACTGCACATGCAGCGAGCGATACGTTAGATACACGCTATCGTGCCACGAGTGGCTCAGCATTAGGACAGCGGGCTGCGGGGGGCTTCACCTGTTTCTCGGGCCTGCTTGCTGGATGTTGCTGCGGCCGCGGGTGGTGGCATGCTCTGTGTGTTGGGCTTGGGCGGTGGGGGCTGCTGCTTGGGCTTGGGCTTGGGCTATTGTATATGATCAATAGAGGCAACTAGCGAAGGGCACGCATGTAGCACGAACAACTTGAGGCGAAGCATGGAAGGTGCGGTACCTGCCGCAGGTCGGGTGGCAGCTGGGCTTCCATCTTCACGGCATGCTCCTGCTGCTGCTTCAGCAACTCCACCAGCTCCTGCATGACGCGGTACGCAAAGGCGTGAGATTGGCCGATGAAAGATGTAACGGGAGAAGGAGAGACGGTACTCGAGATTGGCCCACATAGCGCAGCTCTCTGTTCGCTGTGGTCCTGAGGTCGGCCTTGTGGCGTTCGATTTGGGTAACCCGAGCATCCAAATCACGCAGCGCACTTTGCCACGCCTCCAACGAGTCTGAAGAGAGCACAGATGCGGCTTTAGCACGGAGGGAACGGATTCACCTCTGAATCGCGAGCGTACCCGTAGAGCGCATCATGCAGAGATGCTTGAGCATGGATATCTGTTCTGTGAAGGAATTGACCAGCGCATTAAACGGATCATCGCTACACCCCGCCATCCCTTCCATCGTGCCAATCTATCCAATTCAAAACACCAAACCTTATCCTCTTGCGCTGTTTTCCCGCCATTTCGTGCTGCCTTCTTTGCATTCTTTGCTGACGTGGCAGGGCTCAGCTGGGCGGTGTGGCTTGCCGCAGCTTCTTTACAATGCGGATGGTGAGGGAGACTCGCGTGTGTTCGCGTTCGACTTCTCCGCGTCTTGAGGTATTGAGGAGATGGAGGTTGGCGACGCCGTCGTCTAGGTTGTCGGTCATTCGCTCTTCGATGGAGTGGAGGTGTCGCTTGTACACGTCTTCCCTGAACACGAGCAGGCTTCCTGGAGGCGGTCAGAGGTAAGGTGAGCAACTTGTTGGTGTGGCTTGTAGTTGAAGAGTGGAAGAGGAAGAGAGGTGGAACAGTTACGAGGCTCAAGGTACAGGGAGAAGAGCTTCTTCTTGTCGGCGAAGGGCTTCTCGTAGATCTCCATCATCAGTGCGCTCTGCAGGCTGAGGATGGCGACGTGGCTGATGTAGAGTGGGCCATCTTCGTGTGCCTGGCATTCATGGTCACGTGTGAGCTACTCATGCAAAATGTGTGCGGAGATTGGCCATGCGATCGTACCATGATGCCCTGGCCGGGTTCGTACTCGTTGATGAGGACGTGGTTAAAGTCCTTCTTGAACACCTTCTTCTCCTTGAGCAGCTGCGAGAGCTCGCCCAACCAGCTCGGCAGCTCCTCTTGGGCCATCCCAGCAGCCGAAGGCTTGCCTCCTGCCGCACGACACACCAGTACCGTGAGAGAAAGCAGTAGACACTGCGAAGGCCTGAGTCGTACCCCACATTTGCAGGCGCCGACGCTTGAGGCTTGTCCACCGAGCCTCGGGTTCGCTGTAGATCTTGCGATTGGCATGAGATTAGAAGAAAGAATGTGAAGTGAAGGGAGGATGCCGTACTGCAGACAGGAGGCGCTGCTCTTCGGCATCGCTGATGAAGTTGGTCAGGTAGTACACGGCAGGCACGTCCCCGACTCTAAATGGAGCGAATTCATCCACCGCAAGCTCACCACTCGGTGTAAGGTGCACGCATTCGTCTTCAATCTCTTCCACAGCGTGTCCTGTGTCGTGATCGTTTGTTGGCAAGGAGCGATTTGTGATCTCGTTGCTTGGCTCTTGCACTTGGCTATCTGCCCTTTGTTGCTGCTTCGCAGCGGCAGCACCTCTCCTCGCCTCAGCGTAGAGCGCTTTGAAATCAATAGAGGTTGCCATTTGAAAAAGAAACAAGATCTGATTGTGATTGAAAGGCGGGAAAAAAGACGAGAAACACAACGGCTGCGTTCACAAGTCCATCTCCATGAACACATCAGCACGAGCGTAGTCGGAAGTCGGGACACGCTCGGGTGGAAGGTGGACGAATCCCACCGACAAGTAGAGCTTGAGCGCTGGGGTCAAGACCTTGTTTGATTCGAGGTAGAGTCGCTTGACGCCCATCTCCCGCGCTTGAGCGATTGCGTGCTCGATCAGTTTACGACCGTAGCCTCGTCCCTGCGCCGATGGGTCCACGCCCAGCTTGATAAGCTCCATCGTTGGCTTGCCCTCGTAATCGTCCAGTTTGAGTAGTGCGCAGCAACCGACGGGTGCAGATGGCTTGTCGTTCGAACCCTTGGCCTCCAGCTCTTCCTTCACGCCTGCGCCTGCTCCCTGTTCAACGGACGCCTCCTCCTCGATGAAGAAGATGCGCCCTCCCGGCCGAAGAATGAGCTCGACGGCCTGCTCGAAAATCTTCGCATCTTTGGCCTCGATTCCCCAGCCGTTGGCGAACAGCCAGCTCTCATTCAATCGTTGAAAGTGCGATTCGTCACCTTGCCCCTCTCGAAAGTCCCGAACAGAAGAAGCCCTGCGTTCCGTGGTGCTCGCCATTCTGTTGTTCTTGTTCTTGTTCTAGTTGTTCTCACGTCGCCACACAACCTCTCAAGCTTTCGTTGCTCTCGTTGGCCCAGCACCCGGGAGATGACACCTCCCGACGGTCCACATGAACCAGCTCAAGCCGAGCTGTGGTAGGCAAAGTGCGGGTATGCGGCTCCGGCGTAATGATGGTGAGGCTGATGGTGGTGATAGGCTCCGCTGGTGATGGCGGTGGGCGGGGCCAGCGGGTTGAAGGCGCGCCCGGTGGCCGCCAGTGACAGCAGGGGCGTGATGGCCTTGGACGAGGGAGACAGCTGGCGCGGCGGCACCTGCGCCACCAACGCCGTCAGACTGCTCGACACCGAAGCCGCTGTTTGGTTGTGTGCCGACGACGATGTCAGGTCAGTCAACACGCAACATCGTGTTGTGTTGTGTTGTGTTGGGACGTGGGGTCGGTGTGTCGTACCGCGATTGACGTCGGCCAGGGAGAGGCCCTCGTACTGCGACATCAGCAACCGGCTCAACTGCTCCACGTTGTCGTCGAGCACGCCCTGCGCGCCCGCAGCCACGGCTGGCGCCGACCGCGAGTCGGTCGACAGCTGGGCGTTCGGCCATTCGTTCGCGCCCTCGCACAGCGAGTGCAGGTATTGCTGTGAGAGACCCACAACAACAACGAAGAAGCAAATGGCGGTGGTTAGCGAGACCAACACGACGAATCAATATTGTCGCGAAACGTAAACGTACGCCGAGCACGCCGCGATCGGAGGGAGACAGGCCGGCGAGCACGGTCTGGGTGTCGGCGCCGAGCCCGACCGCTCGTTCGGTGGTTGACGGACCCGTGGCGAGCGGCGCCTGCTGCTGCTGCCGAGCGGCGAGCCAGGCCAGGTACCGCGCGCTGTGAGTCACGGGCTTGGGTCCGCTCGGCACCGGTGGAGCGGACTCCGCCGGCGCCGCTGCTGGGTGGGCAGCAGCCCGAGGCGTCGACGCGCTCGCGGCACCGGTGTGCGGCGCCGACGCGATCGCTGGACCGGCAGACGACGATCGCCCATCGCTCGCCGCGCCGGCCGTCGGGGCCGCGGTGGTCCCCGCCGGCGCGCCCTCGCTTTTCCGCCGCGGGCCTCGGGGCCGGCCGGGCTTCCGCTTGGGCGTCGGGGCGAGACCGCCGTCAGCGCCGCTGGTGGGCGTCGCGCTACCGGCCGCTGCCAACCCGACCTTCGGCGTCGGGGTCGCCGAGCTGGCCCGCCTCTTCGCCGCCTCCGTTGTTTTCCGCTCTCGCGGCTTGACCGGGGCGGGGGTGGTCGCCGCCGCGTCGGCCGACGCCTCTCCCGGCATCGTGGCGCTCTTCCGTTCGCGCCTCTTTCGCTGCTGCGGCGTCGCCTTTTCGGTGCCGCCCTCCTCCACCTCCTTCGCTCCTCTCCGCTTGGTCGGCGTCTTCGCTGTCTTCTTCTTCTCCTCCTCCTGCGCCTTCTCTTCATCTCCCTCGTCGGCCTCCTTTTGCGACTTCTTCGTTCCGGCCCGCTTCGGCCGCTCGGCCTTGGCCGCGGTGGCTTTTGCTGCGTCTTGCGGCTTCTTGCCCGCGCCGGGGGAGGGGATGCTGGTCGGATCGATCTTGGGCAGCCACGTCTTGTACTGCTGCTTGGCATACTCCCTGTGTGTGTGTGTGTGTGTGTGTGTGTGCGTTCCGCCACACAGAAAGAGAATTAGTTATGAAATGAGCATGTGCGCGTGCGTGCGTGATTCAGGCCGCGTGTGTGAACCTGAGCTTCTCCGCTTCTTCGTAGTACATGCTGTCATCGGGGTTGAAGGTGACGCAGTTGTCGCAGATGAGCTTCACGTCCGCCTGTTCCCACCGGTCGTGTACGCCCGTGAGTGCCCACCAAACCCTGTATGTGGTGGTAAGTCGAGGGCGACGCCGTACCTGGAAGAGCGCGGCCGTGTGGTACTGGCCCTCGTCGAGCTTGACCTTCATGTCGGAGAAGGCCATGGGGCGCTTGATCATCTCGTGATACCCGGGCACGTCGTCAGGCACTGGGTCGTAGAACACCCCATACGAGTCCTTCCTGCTCACGCAGCACACACCGTCAAATGGCCATCATCTCACAGCAGACAGCTCTTGAAGCGTGTCTTCAGTGTGCGTGTGCGGTGGTGCGTGTCAAGCGCTTGAACGTACCGAATGAACTTGTTGAGCAAGAGCGTGAGCACCTTGTGCAGGGTGAGCCTCGTCTCCCTCTTCGGCGTCACTCGCCTCGGCGGACCCGCGGGGACCCCGTCAGCGCTCGGAGCCACGGGCGTGTCATCAGAAGTGACACCCGCCGCGGTCTCCTCGCCGCCTCCCGCCCGTAGCGTGGCCGACCGCGTCCGCTGTCGCTTGCTGCCGGCGGCGGGAGTCGACGCCGCGTCGGTCTCAAGCAGCGTTGGACTCTCCAGGACCTCCTCCGCCTTCCGCTTCCTACCACTGGCCGCTGCGGCACGACTCGTTCGCGCAGCAGCTCGGCGCGTCTTCTTCTCGTCTTCGTCCGACTCGAACGCGAACGCAAAGTCCTCCTCGTCTTCGTCGTCGTCATCGTCGTCGGTCTCCCTGTTCCTAGACTTTCGCTTTCCCCTCCTCTTCTTGCCGCCGCTGCCGGCGGCATTCTTGGGCGTCGTCGCCTTCTTCGGCGTCGCTGCGGCCTCCGGCGTCGCTACCTCTTTCGCTTTTCGTTTTCCGCGTTCGTTCTTTGGCGTGGTCACCGTCGTGGCCGTCGCCGTCGCTGCGTCGCCGCCGCTCTTTCTTCGCTGCTGCTGCTGCGGTGGCGCGCCTCTGCTGCGAGCGGGGGACGCCCTCTTCTGCGGCGACGGCTGCTGCCGCACCAGCACCTTGGCCTCTTCGTCGTCCTCGAACTCGAACGGCGCCTCGTCCCACTCGGCCATCGCAAGCGACGCCGTCTGCGCACTCACCCGCGTGCTGCGTGGTCGCTCGGGCGTCGCGCGCTGCGCCGACGTCTTCGTTGGCCTGGTGGTCGTGGTCGTTGTCACCGCCGCCTTGGCCTTTGATCGCTTCTCCTTTTGCTTGAGCTGCTCCTGCTCGAGCTGCTGGAGCTGTTGCTTGAGCTGCTGCGCGCGCCCCTTGCGCGCCTTCTTCATCGCGGCCAGCTCCGCGGCCTCCTGCGCGTCGATGTCCTCCTCCTCGAGGCGCTGCGACGCCGTGCGGTCGCGCGCCAGCTTGGACATCACCCGCGCGCTGATCCTGATCGGCGGGATGACCGGTGCCACCGCCGACTGGCTGGGCGCCGGTGCCGACGCTGGCACGGCCTTGTTCTTCTTCTCCTGCGCGCCTCTGCCGCCGCCGGTGCTCGTGCCTCGCTTCGTCTTCTTGTTCCTCCCCTGTGTGTACTCTCCATCGTCTTCTTCCTCTTCCTCCTCTTCCTCCTCTTCGTCGTTGTAGTGCTCCTGCTCGATGTCCATTCCCTGGTGGCCTGCTTCTTCTTGTTCGGCGTAGTCCTCGCCTTCTCCGTCTTCTTCCTCCTCCTCTACGTCTTCACCGCCTTCTTGTTGGCCAGGCTCTTCTGCCCCTTCTCCGAACTCGAAGTGCTCTTCCTCTACGTCTTCTCCGTCTTCTTCATCTTCTTGCTCCTCGTCTTCTGCATGTGGCTCGCCGTCCTCTTCCTCATCTTGACTGCCACCCACCGTCCATTTCTTGGCTCCACCATCTGCCGACAGCCGCAATACCACCTTCAGCCCTGCAGCCCCATCCCAAGCAAGGTCAGACGAACAAGAGCGAAGAAATGAAATGGGAATTCGGGCGTAAGAAGGGCTAAAGTGGCCAATCGATCAGGAGGTGGCGAGCTGGAAATTGATGCAATATTGAGGGCGCAATCGCGATTAATCTTGGGAATGGGGGCGCACCAGCACGAGTTTTATCAGTTTCCTGAGCAAGCTGTTCGTGCGCCTCTTCCATTCCCTCGTCCTGCCGCTCTGCGATTCGTCGTGAGGACCGACGCGACATGCCTGCGTTCGAGCTGGTTGGCAGTTTCAATTTGATCCTGAACGGTCGGCAAACAAATAAATAATTTACGGGCATTTTTGCCGACTCATTAAAAAACAAATAAAAAAAGCTCAAGGCAGGAATCGCTCGGTCAGGATGGACTCCACGATGCCCACCATGAAGGGGACGTCCGCGATGAAGTTGTGGGACGGCGAGCCCTCGGCCAGGCCTGATCCACAACACAACACAACGATAAGTTTTGTGGGATTATTCTGAATAGCTCGCTCACGGATGGGAAGCAGGCGACGGCACCTTCTCTGGTGGGGTTGGGGAAGATGGCATGGTAGCCCAGTCCCAGCCGAGCGCATGAGAAGATGTTGAGATGACGTCCGGAGAATATCTGAGACGGGAGTTAGCCCCTGGGCATTTGCAAATAGAACGAACACCAAGTTGGTGTGTGGCAGGTGGTACCTCCAGCACGTGTGCGCCAGTGCGCACGGCGTACAGGTGAGCAAAACCTAGAGGAGTGTGCGACAGTAAGCGAGTATGGTGATAAGTCATGAACAAGCGAAGAATGTGTAGAGAAGAATGTAGTCAAGAAGTTGGGCGTACCAGCTCCGTGCGGGCCAATCACAATGTCAGCTCGGCCGAAGAGTTTGCGCGACTCCACCATCGACATCGAACCCACGTGCTCGGCCAGTTCGATCCTCAGCCTCTTGGGCGAAGCGGGTCGGCCCTTCCTCTGGTCGGCGAAACGCTTGGGGAACGCTTTCGCCAGCTGCTCGACGGCCTTGTACAGCTCCTTGTGGTTGAGGATCATGCGACCGGCGAACGCGTCGGTGCGGACGATGAAGACGATGGACACCACTGCTTCATCGAGTTGCTCAACCGCCGCCGCCGCCGCCGGTGGGGTGATGGGCTTGGCCAGCACGCTTCGTCGGCGGTCGAGCGGCAGGTGGTTCATGTCGAGCAGGCCGTGTCGAGTCAGCTGCGCCATGCCCAGCGACGGCACTTCCGAGCGCTCGATGTTTTGCAGGACGTACACGACATCGGCCCTCACGTTTTCCTCGCTCAGGAATCGCCACCTGCGTTTCGTTTCCAACGTCGGGCTACACGTCAGCAGTTACCTTAAATTGAGTGTTTAGGGGCGAAGCACCTCGGAATGTTGAACATGCGCTCGTATCTCTGGGCGTAGGACGGTCCGCCGCTGATGTGGATGAAGATGTCGGGGTTGGCCTGCAAGTAGGGCAGGGCGACGAACAGCCGATAGGCTTCGTTGACGAGCCAGTGCCAGAACATCTCCTGATGATGGTGCGTGATCACCAGCACCTCCTTCACATCCCGCCAATGTGGGGTCTGTGCGTCGTTTCGTGTCGTTTCGTGTGTCGTGTAGACGACCGTTAGCGAGTCACATTCCTGGTTCAAACCGAAAGTGCGACTTCTGATGAAGGCAGCGTACCGAGTTGGCGCCCATGTACTGTTCCAGGAACGTGGGCCAGAGATCGTCTCGCGGTTCGTCGGGCCAGGCCGGGATCGCCAGGTACGGCGAGAAGATGGTGCCGTACTGGGTCACGTAGCCGCCGTAGAGAATGCCCACCTCGGGCGCGGCCACGTTCTTCCCTCGGCTGACGTCGATGACGTTCTCCCAGTCCTCGGCGACCATCATCTCCCGCATCTCCAGCGCGAACGAGTTGCCCTGGACCAGAGCGCCCAGGGCGCTTATGTTGGGGTAGAACTTGGGAGGGATGAAGTCGGCCTCGAACTGGGCCACCAGCGTTTCGCGGGACATCTCGGCCCGCTCGGTACCATTGGCCATGCAGTGGGCGTTGAAGCCGGCGCAGTGCTGTGTCAACAAAAACTCGGCCGACGATGCTGTATGTTGGAGGGTGTCAGTAGATCGTCATCGAGAAGCACTGGATGTGCGAGTGGTGCGGCGTACCTCCACCCCACAGCTGCGATAGACTCAAGAAGGAGATAGTGTCCTGCGTGTGAGTAATGTGAGTAACCCACATGTGCGCACTGGATAGATGGAGTGACTCAGCACACGTACGTAACCCACCAAGGGCGGAGGCATGTGGTGGAAGTAGCGCCGCTGCGTCTCCCAGTCGCACCAATCCAGCAACTGATGATGATGGAGGCCACACCCACACCCACGCCAACAGATGACCATCGTTAATGACGGAGCTTCGGTGCCCTCCACCCCAACGAGGGAAGGGACCGGGGGTGTACCTGTTGGAGTGCAACCGAGGCCGGGCGGATGCCCTGCTGGATCGACTCCCTGGTCCGCCGGTAGGTCCGGAGCACGACAGGATCCATTACCGGTAGCGGCGGCTGCTTGAGTAGTCCCTTTCGGTAGAGGCCCAAGGCGTCATCCTTCTCCGTTTGGCCGTCGCACAGGGGGAAGGTGGCGGCCGGAAGCGGGGCGGTCTCCTCCTCCTCCACGTTGCGGGCGTGGGCGGTGGGGCTTGTGGGTGAGGGTGGCCAGGAGAGTGGGGGTGGCGCCTTGGCTTCCTTTGCTGATGGCCCGAGCGCGTACATGGCGCCGTTGTGGAAGCTGCCCGCGAAGTAGCCGAAGAAGAAACACCAGATGGCGAAGCCCACCTTGAGCATCGAGCTGCGCAGGCGCCCGGGCGGCGTAGGTGTTGGCGGGTGGGGTCGCCCGGTCGCCGGCGGTCTCATCTGTCGCTTGAACTTGTTGACACTGCTTCAACCTCCTGGCACCCACCGACCGGATCTTTCATGGGCTTGGCTTGCGGGCGCGAGAGAGGCGCGAGCTGTTAATGCCTCGATCACGCCCGCAACAGAACGCTGCTACCATGGTTGCAGATCAACTATTCCCGGAATGCAGGCTGGGTATTGGCTTCCTTGAATCTGTAACACGTGATGCCAGCGTAGCAGCCCCGCACCCACCACGAGCGAACCATATAGGGAGTACCCTAACCTTTTTTAACGTGGAGCTGCGCGTGCACCTTGTATGGTTTAGGGGCGAGGCACTATTTTGGTAAAATTGCCAACTTGATTATTGAATTATTGGAACGCAATATCCGAATTCTTATAATTCCATTCAATTCTTCTTCAGCATTTTTTTAAATTCATTTAAGACCAGAAAAGCGCAACTGTGGTGCTGGGGCTGACCTTGGATCAGTAGGACGGCACGAGCATGGCCTTCTGGATCTCCTGGGCCTTGGCGGCGCCGTAGAGCTGCTCGACCAGCTGCAGCGCAAACTCGAGCGCAGTTCCTGGCCCGCGGCTCGTCACGCAGTTGCCATCTGGTGCGCGTGGAGGTGAGATGGCCAGTCTCTCCTCTCTCTGCACAGAAGCCACGCCTCACAGTACATACCGACCACCACTCTCTGCTCGAGGTTGTCCTTCTGCTTGAGCGCATCGACGAACTTCTGCGCCGGGTAGCACGTAGCCTGCTTGTCATCTGTCGAAAAGGAGCGAGGTGCACATTACGCGCATCAGCATCGCGATTGGGCTCATGTGTGGGAGTGAGTCTGGCGCAGCGTACCGACCAGTCCGTGGCTGGCCAACACAACGGCTGATGGTGGTGATGTATATGGCGGTCGGTTAGAGTTGCCTCGATGCGGCATACGGGCAGGCACATGTAGTACCTGGTGAGGCGCAGACGGCAGCGTAGAGGCGGCCTGATTGCTTCTGCTGTGTCAGCAGCTCCTTCAGCTGGTCGCTGTCCCTCAATCGCTCAGCGCCCGGCATACCACCTGACCAGGGCGCGGCAGGAGTGAGACACTTGGAGCACCATTGGGTTTGATGGGGGGGGGGAACCAGGAAGGGCAACGAGGTCGTAGACGTTGCCGAGGCAGTCGGTTATGAGAGCATCTGCCAGTATTCTGACCGAGCGGGAGCAGGTCACCTCTCGTGTAGCCTCCACCGAGGCCACTGCACAAGAATCGATTGAGCACACCCACAGAATCGATGTTGGGCCATAAACGGCAGCGCACCTGTCACGTCAGCACCTGCCCTGCGCAAGGTGTCGATGATGCACACCGACTCTATCTCCTCCGACCCGTTCGCAATCGGCACCAGCACCTTCTTCATGGTCTGCACAACGTTTAATGTTTTTTGTTTGATTGTTTTTTGCGTTTTTTTTTGTTGGAATTCAAAGATTGTTGCGTTGCGTCAGCACCCCCGCCAAATAAATACACTCAGCGCCTCCTCCTGTCGTAGTCCCTGTCCCTGTCGCTCCTCCTCTCATCCCTGTCCCTGTCCCTGTCTCTGTCAGAGCCCCTTCTCTCGTCCCGACCGCCGCTCCTGTGGTGGTCCCTGTCTCGGTCCCTGTCGCGGTCGCGGTCATGGTCGCGGTCCCTCCGGTCGCCGTGGTCCCGGTCCCTCTCACTGTCTCGGCTCCTCTCGCGGTGGTGGCGGTCGCGATCGGAGGAGGAAGAAGAGGAGGAGGATGAAGAAGGGGGTCTGGCGATGGTCTCTGGTGCGGCGCCGGAGCTCTCGAACTGGATCTTGCTCCGGTCGGACATGGTGTCCCTGGTGCCGCCGCCGGCGGCGTGCATGGTGTTGGAGGAGCCGATGTGGTCGAGCGGCTTCTTCTTCTGGGTCTCCTTGGCCTCGGTGAGGAACTCGTCGAGACCGAAGGGATCCTCCTCCTTCTCGAACTCGACGGGGGCGCGTCGCGGCTCGGCCCGGCGGCTCCGGTCCACGCCCGAGAAGTCGCGGTTGGGCTTGAACTTGTCGGTGCCCTGCTTGTCGTCGCCGCCCTCCTCGTCGTCGTCGCCGCCGTAGACCTCCGAGTCGTTGTCCTTCTTGGGGCGGTAGAGGAAGTTGGCGCTGCTGCCCTGGAAGAGGGGCTTGTCGTAGACGTTGTAGGCCTCTTCGTCGGCAAAGCCTGAGTCCATGCCCTGGGACTGGTTGAACAGACGCGCGTCGAACATGGTGTCGGCGCTGGCGGTGGGAGCCTCGCCCAGCGCCACCTTCTCGGACACGTCGCGATCGTCGTCGGTCTTGAGCTTCTTCTTGCCCTGGTAATTGTCCAGGTGGCGCTTCCTGTCACGCTCGCGCTTGCGCTCGTAGCGCAGCTCGTCGCGCTCCTTCTTGGCCTCCACATCTTCCTCTTCGAGGTCCTCCTCCTCCATCTCCATCTCGGTGGCCTTGCCCTTCCTGGCCTCCTCGGCGAGACGACGCAGCGTTTCCTCCTGCTCGGTCTTCTCGTTGACCATGATCTGTCGTGCGATGGCTGCGCGGCGCGCCACCTCCTCCCTCGCCCTGCGCTCGGCGATGTAGAGCGCCTCGGAAAGCTTGGCAAAGCTGTCATTGATCTGGACCTCCTGGAGCGCGCGGCCGTCGGCGGCCAGACGCTTGTCGAGGGGGATGGTGTAGCCCTTGGCGTTCTTCCAGTTCGAGATGCAAGGGGGGATCTTCCACGCCTGCTGATCGGCGACGGTGACCTTCCTCGGCGGCGAGTGGACGACGGGGGCAGGGGGCGAAGGCGGACCAGCGGGCGTCTTCTTGTGCTTGAACTTGGGCGGCTCCATGGGATCCTTCGGCATCTCCACCAGCCTGATGATCCTCTGCTTCGCCCCGGAATTGTGGCCTGCAGCAGCGGCAGATTGACCACCAGCCGGCGTGTATCGGATGTAGGTGGGATCGCCCTGCTTTTCTCCAGGTTGCGCGGGACGTGCGGCCACGATCTTCGAGTTCACGATCTTCTCGAGGGCGGCCCTAGTGCGCGCGGTCGCCTCGGCCTCCTCCTCTTCCGAAGGCCGAACCAGCTCTTCCTCATCGACAACCTTGTCGGTGAGCGCGAGCGCGGTCGAGTGAACGATTTTATCCTTGCCATGTCCGAGGATGGTCTCGTATTTGACCTTTCCAGTCGAGTCCAATTGAATGGAAAGCGCATTCGAGGCGCCCGTCGCGTTCTTCCTACCCATGCTAAGCGGGTACTGCGCTAGGTGGATCTCGGGGAAGGCGCCTCCATCAGCAAAGTCCTCCTCATTTCGCGGGATGAATCCATCACGTTGGCCGTAAGGAGGGGGCTGCTTCATTTGGCGCCTCGCCGCTGCCGATGGTGCGGGAACCGCCAGCGCGTCCGACGTAGGACCAGCGAATGCATTCCTCGGTCTAGGCAGCGCAGCCGTTAGTACCGATGTCATCTTCTGCTGCTGTGATGGAATAATTATAATCCTGCTAGCAGCCCTACGTCTTTTCGCCCAGCCAAAAAAAAAGAAACGGAAAAGTCTAAACTCCGGCGCTGACGTCAGCTTAAATATGTAAAACATCTTGATGCGAGTCTTTACCAGGTAACATCTGCCAAACAGTCTTCACCACGCCGAGAGGTACGGAGAGTCGAGTACGGCAAACCCGGCAGCCACGCCGCCTTCGTCGGACGAGGCCGTCTTGGTTCGCAAGAGGTGGCCGCCATCCTCGTTGATGAATTCCTCGTCGCCCTTGCTGCTCATCCCCCACCCAAACACGATAAACAAACATACAACGTGCGGTGTGACAACCCTGCGGTGTGCGGTTTGCGTGTCGGGCGTGGCGGCGCACCTGACATAAACAGAAAAGACGCCCAGCTCGCAGATGGCCTGCACCAGGGAAGACTCCCCCCTGCGGTACACGTAGGCCTCATAGGGCTGCGGCTTGATGCGCTGCATCAAAATATGGGCCGCCCGTTCCTGCAGGCCAGCACCCAAACACCACAAGAAGACAAGATGCCACCATGACGATACGGCACATCAGTTCCGTCGTCGCTGGGCCGACCCACTCCAACGATGGGCAGACATACCTGTGCGCTCATGGTGGTCAGGGCATGCTTCAGTTTCTCGCCGTAGAGGTTGTTGCCTGTGCTCGCAGACCCGTGGCCCGACACAGAGCCCAGGGAAGTGGGTGAGTGAACAATCGATGCGTCGAGGCTGTGGGTGGAAAGGAGGAATATGTACCGCCGCCCTCGCGCTGCGGCTTCATGACGTAGTCATCGGGGTTAGTCAGAGCGTCCTTGATCGCCTCCTCGCTCTCGCCCTCATCGAGGCTGTATAGTCCAGCAAAGCACTTGCGCAACCGTGCCACTCTCTGCGTGTCGTGAGGTGTGCACACAGTGAGCCAACAAAAAGCAAAATGAATCAAGCATTGCTTGTTGTGCCATACACACCTCGGCGTCATCGGGAAAGAATCGCTCGACCACGCCGTCCTTGCTCAGCACCTGCTGAATCTTCTTGGCACCCACCAGGTGGTAGGCGAGCGAAGGACACTGCACGCGTGATGGACTGTCAGCCTTGCCTCCTTAGACGGGCTGAGAGTTATGAGAAGAGGTAGTGTGCAGACCTGAACAGTGTTGGACCGCTCGATGAGTTCGCGGGCTTGCCACTCGTCTTGGGTCGGGTAGTCGTTGGGCGTGTAGCCCGCCCTGAAGTACGTGACGGCCACCGTCATGCCATCGCTGGAGTTGACCAACGGAGAACGTTAGCCCCTGTGTCGCCACACCTCACGACACACACGCGGGCACGACCAAGAAGGAAGGGGCACGCACACGAGAAGAGCCCCGGAGGAGGCATCGATGGACCCCCGATTGTGGAGGTCCTTCAGGGACCGCCGGATCATGCGGATCTGGTGCCTGTCCCACAGCGTGTATTCGAGCCATCGCTGATCGGTCGAGTTCTTCTCTCCCGGCTGCACCATCATGACCACGACGGCACTGCCGCGACAAACACCAACGACGCGTCAACGACGGATTACGACTACGAGGGGCGCTCGGGGACCTAGACAAGCGCGCGCGGCGGGGGGGAGGGGTACTTTTTGTCTCCGTAGAGCTCCCAGGCTTTGGCCATTCCGTCCGCAAGCGCATAGCCCGACTTGTTGGGAGGCAGGGTCGAATCGCTCACCTCGAAGTGGCTCTGCAGGCCGGTCACCTTTCCCAGAACATACCTATTTCCGCACACACGACACACAACACGCGCGCACACGACACGACACACACACACGTGGGCGGCATCGACACAAAATGAGAGAGAGCAGTCACTCAAGAGAAGCAAGGCCCGCGGTCGCAGCGCAGGGTGGAGCGGAGGAGATGGACGGCGTGCCGGTGCATTTGGGCCACGTTGCTGGAGAGGCAGGCAAAGGCGGAGGAGATGGTGTTGAGCTCCACCTGAAGCGGGATGGGCGGACCCTCGGGCTGTTGGTGCATCATGTAGTCCGACCTGTGCAGCCCCAGCTCGATCGCCTGAACGCGCCACACAACACTCAGTGGTTCAAAACACGCACACGCAACACAGTCTCGCAGCGCAGCGCCAGTACAAGGTGAGCACCGCACCTGTCTCTTGCCGTCGGCATAGACCTTCTTGTAGATGGCCAGCAGGCTCGCAGTGAAGCTGTCCGCACGCGCAGCACTGACGAGGCGGAAGGAAGAATGAGCCACGCAGGGGGGAAGAGCAGGTTGTTGGGAGGGGGGGGGGCACCTCTCGAGGGAGGAGCAGATGAAGGCGTGGTCGTTGCTGGCCCTGTGCACGAGGACGTTGAAGTCGCGGGCGAGCGCCACTACCTGGTCGTATGCAGAGCGAGGCAACGGCGAGGGGAGCAGGCTAATCGGTGCGTGCACCACCTCGCCAGCATTTCCTACACACGCGAGGACCAGCAATTGCGAGCATGAGAGGGAGATGGAGGATAGAATCTGAATTCTGATTTTTCGTTGCCAATGCGGTACCGCCAGGAAGGCCCATGACGAGGCCGTGCGCTACAGCCCACGCGTGACTTTCCTCCACCACCTCAGCAAGCAGCTTCGCATCAATCTTGGGTGCCTTCGCCACGTCTTCCATCTCGAGATTGTATTGCTCTCCTGCACGTTCCGTTCCTCCCTTTTCTTGCCTTCCTTCTCGCCGCCGTTGCGCAATCATATCGGCGAGTGAAGCTGTGTCTTTATGTACATCTGTACACCTCCTCCTTCTTGTTCTTTCACCGCCTTCACACGCTCTAGAGTGGTATGTACAACCGCCTTGCGAGGCCAGTGTCCTTCCACTTCACCTTGGTCTAGTCCAGCACGATGGCGTCGCTGCTGTTGTGCGCACAACCACCGCTGTGTGGTTCCTCCTGGCCGGTCGTCGTCGCGGCGATGTCCATCAAGCCGGCCGCCTCGGTGTGATGAAGGGGATGGTGGTCCTGCTCTTTGTTGTTGTTGTGGTTGTCGTCGTTGTCGTTGTCTTCCTCGTCTCTGGGCTCGGGCTTCACGATCGGCGGGAGGATGGCGTCGTCGTCGATCTCGGGCTCGGGGAAGAGCTTGCGGCCACGGAAGGGCGAGAGGCCCTGACGCACCTCGGCCTGAAAGTTGCGCACACGGGTCTCCTGCGTGCGTCGGAAGCGGCGCATCTCCTGCTCGACGGTCGAGCTGAGCTGCTTCTCGGGCGAGCGCGGCGAACGTTGGTGCGTTGAAGCGAAGGAGGAAGAAGAGGGCAGAAGGGACGAAGGCGAAGATGAAGAGGGTGAGTAAGAAGAGGACGAAGAGGATGGTGAAGAGGCGAGACGCAGCTGCTTGAAGGGCGAGGAGGAGAGGAGTTGGGAGGAAGAAGGTGTGGTGGTGGCGGAGGGTGAGGAGGAGTGGGTGCTCCGGAGCATGCGCGTGAGCTCGCCCAGGTTGGGCGGCGCGAGCGAGCCCGAGGTCGTGCTTCGTGGGCTCGATGACGGCGCGGCGAACCGATCGGCCACGCGGAAACGGGTGGCGCTGGGACGTTCGGGCGTTGTCGGCTTCGGGGTGGTGGAGTCGGCTGTGGCTGTGGCCGTCGGACTGCCGGTGCTGTCGCTGGCGCGTTGCTTGAGCGTCAGGTTGCGCTGCGGCGTGGCGAACTTGATGGGCGGCTTGTTGATAGGCGGCGTTGAGGGCTGCGGCGAAGATCCCGACGGCGATGGGCTGTCGTGCTTCGATGGCGTAGTGGGTACGGTGGCCGTCGTGGCAAGGACCCTCTTCCGCTGTGTGTCCTGAACGCGTGGTGGCGAAGAGATGGGCCGAGTTGCAGAGATGGAGGAGGTTGATGGAGGAGACGCATTCCGCCGCTTGTACACCTTGGGTTTGGAGGGAGAGGATGGCGTCGTTGGCTGAGTAGATAAGGGAGCAGCGGGAGGAGCAGCCGGGCCGGCGGGTATCTCTATCCTCCTTCTCTTGGGTTCCTTCTTTTCCATGCCCTTACGCAGGTTGCCATCCTCAGCGGCATCTTCCTCGATCTTCCGTTTTGCCGAGTTGCGCGCGACATCCATCGCATCTTCTTCGAGATCGTTTGGCAGCACCGGCTCCAGGGACGTAGTGAATCGAAAAGAAGAGTATCGGGAAGACGAAGTACCAGAACGGTCGGAAGTAGTGGAGCTGGATGGTAACTGGGATTGGTCGATTTCTTCGATGTTGGCTCTGTCTTCCCTCCTCTTCTCCTCTACTTTCTCGGTGAGAGCGCTCAGCCGCTGGCGCTTGGCAACCTCGATCACACGAATTGGATCGTTCGAGCTCCACATCGACGAGCTGGCCTCGGTGAAGGCGAATGGATCTTCCTTGATAACGAATGTCGTCGATCGTGATGTGGTGCCGGCAGCATGATCATGCGGCCACGATTTGGCCGGAAGTAGCGAGCTTCGCGGCACAGGCGTACAGCTGAACATGGATGTTGGATGTTTGATGTTTGATGATTCTCTTCTGTTGCGTTTGCCGGCGTAACGGTTTTGCTCGCCTTGAAATTTTTCCAGGAAGCTTTTTGTATTTTGTATTATACAGAAAAAATGAAATTATATTCCACAACTGTGTGGGTCGTGTTCACCCACTCCTGGAGAAGGCGGACACGGGAGAAGGTCGTTGGTAGATTGTTTCACCAAGCCGGACGACATCGAGCATGTGCTGCGTCTCCGCATTGGGATCCTCTTCAATGCCTGCACATAAAGAAGAAGCGCGTGTGGAGAGTGAGGAAGGAATCTGAGGCCTCAGTGAAGGTGTGAGGCACCCACGCACCGATGCGATAGATGGCGATGGATCGCTGCTGACGGAAGTGGTGCAGCTTCCCTTGAATGCTGGCCAGACAGCCCACCTGGAAGAGAGCCGTGTAAGAGGTGTGATCAGCTCAGCTGGTGAGAGGAGGCGTTACCTGCAGGTCAGAGTACGGCACGCCGCCTTCGTCCACGCTGTTGGCGTAGTAGGCGCACTGAATGCGACCGGTCCCATCATCAACTGCACGCCCCTCGCGATCGGTGCGCTGACCAGAAGGAGGGCGAGCACAGAAGAACGAAGAAGAGGTGCGAACCTGACAGGGCGAGGTGCCTCGGCCGTGGCAGCGCCTCAACGATAATGCCCATCACCGCAACGCGCGTCACAGGGTGGCCGTTGAGGTTGAAGGGTTCTGTTGCATCCGGTTCCGATAATCTAAAAGAGATTAGCGGATGAAGTACAAAGCAAGGTACGGCAAGTTGGTCAGTGCCTGAGTAGCCCGGCATCGGGGGCAGAGCAAGGACGTCCCCGATGAAGAGCTTCACGTGGGTCCAGAACAGGGGATCGAGGCCCCAATGCTCGACGATGGGGAGTGCCGGCCGCACGCGTTCGATTCGTCTTCGCTTGGCAGTGTCGGCACCTCGCGTGGGCTTTGCTTCATCTTCGTCCCTCAGCCATTCGTGTGGGTCCCAGTGTTCGACGAGAGGCTCATCTTTCTCCATCAAATGCAGCCAGACAAGAAAGAAGCTGGCTGGGTTTTTTTTTGATTTATATTTTGCATAATGAACATGAATTCAGGCCTCCGAGCTGTACAGAGAGGCACAAGCCCATCGTTCCCTCTCAGTTGAGGTCATCATCGTCAAAGTCATCGCCGAAGTCTGCAAGGTTGCAAGGGTATTGTAAATATCGCGGGTGATGCGCAGGACAGGATCAACAGCACGTACCGTTGAAGAAATCGAGGTCCACCATCTTCACTTGGGGTCCTTCAGACTCCTGCATCGCGGCCATGATCGCCACTGCATCGTCGTGGTCCATGTCCATATCCATCATGTACATGCCAGACGGGTCTTCCATCTGAGGCGCCGAGAAGAATCCTTTCATCGCATTCATGGTGTGTGCCGTGTTGCTTGAACGTGAGACGATGCTGCGTATTCGCCCCCTTTATCGAATGAATAAAAAATCTTCAGCCAGCAAAGAGTTCAGAGAAGGCACAAAAACACTTCGTGTCGACCTTGACAATTCAAAGAGAAATGATTCAGGAAAAGAGAAAATAAAAAATGGCGCGAAGCAGCCAGCGGTCTTTCTTGTGTTTGCCAACGGACCGAGTGAGGAGACAGACAGCCGGCGCGCCATCAAACGGCCAATTAGATAGATTGCCCACCTACACAGAACTATGGAGGCACCTGCGGCTTCAATTCTTCAATTTCAAAACATCTCCCTTGGCGGGAAGGTGGCTGGGGTACGTGAGGCTTGCTGCGTCGCTTTCATCAGCGCTCAAATCGCAAATTTTAAATACATTTGTTGGTTCTTTGGTGGTGGCTGCAGTCTTCAGGAATCATGAAGATTAATGCAAGCGGAATCGGATGGAAGTCGAAGGCGGGCAAGAGCGTGGCTATCATGGGAACAGATCTCGTAAAGGCCGAGTGGATCCCAATTGGCAAGTCCTTCCAGCTGAAGCTCACCGTCAAGGGCGGGTCGAACTTCAAGTTCAATGGATTCCAGCAGGCCAACCACAATGAGCTCAAGTCCTTCTTCGACGCCAACTTCAAGCTCGACCTCACGCGACTCGAGTACAACACGTCCGGCAGGAACTGGGGCGATATTGACGTGCGAGGTATAGCTCTCGCCCGCCTCATTCCTTCTGTACTCGGTCCGCTGTGCACGTGATTGTGAAGCGACTCACCACATACGACTTCGTGGCGCACTCCCAGGCCCTGGAATGATGTTTCAGGTGGGAGACGGGCCGGCGTTCGAGGTCCCCTTCACGGACGTGGCTCAGTGCGTGCTGCAGAAGAACGAGGTCACCCTCGAATTCCATCAGGACGACACCTCGGCGTCGGTCGACAGCGAGTCCCTTGTGGAACTGCGCCTTTACTTTCCTCCCGATGGCGACATGGACGCCGACGTACGTTAATCAATTAATTGTGGGCTGGTCGCTGTGCTGCTCAGCTTGGCTGATGCCTGCAAGCTCATCCTTGACACCAACAGGAATTCCACAAGCTCGTTTTGGACAAGGCCGACGTGGTCTCCACAACTGGCGGTGGCCTCGCCACCTTCCCGCAGATCCCCGTGCTTACGCCCAGGCACGCTCCCTATTCCATGCTCATCCCTTCTCCCTTCTTAGTAGCATAGCTCATGACTTTGGTTGGTGTACGCCCTGTGCAGAGGTCGTTACGACATCGAGATCTATCCCTCCTTCCTTCGCCTGCACGGTAAGACCTACGACTACAAGATCATGTACAGTTCCATCTCGCACATCTTCGAGCTGCCAAAGCCCGACGACCGTCACGTGTGCTTCATGGTACGGCACACCTTTCGCTCTCCCACACGCGACTGCTTTCGTTGTTCACTTGAGATATTCGACCTTCTCATTCACACCCACACCCACACCCACAGATCAGCTTGGACCCGCCGATCAGGCAGGGAGGCACGCGATACCCGCACCTCGTGCTGCAGTTCGATAAGGCCGCGAAGATCGATCTCCAGGTGGCCCTCAAGGAAATGGAGGGCAAGCTGCCCAAGGAGAGCAGGCTCGAGGAGGAGATGTCGGGCAAGGTCTACAAGGTATTCCGCCGGGTGGTCCGCGAGCTCACCCAGAAGAAGATCACCGTGCCTGGCACGTACCTCAGGTATTTAACCGCACGACACACGCGACACAACACAATTGTATGCGCTCACTGTCTTGACTTTGGACTACGCGTGCAGTCACCACCAAGCACCTGCGGTCAAGTGCTCGGTGAAGGCCAACGACGGCTATCTGTACCCCATGGACCGATGCTTCATCTTCATCCACAAGCCGCCCACGTACATCCGCTACTCGGACATCACCGTGGTCGAATTCGCGCGCGTGTCGAGCGAGAAGCAGGGCGACATCCAGGGCGGCAGCCGCACATTTGATTTGGTCGTCTACACCAAGGGTGGCAACGACGTCCAATTCACCGGCATGCAGAGGTACCTTGGCGGCCACGCGTGCCTGCCTGCTGTGCAACTGGCCCTCGTCAGCGTAGTTGTGCTCTTTTCAGTTCCGCCCACACGCTTACATAATCCACGTTCTTCTTCTTCGCACAGAACTGAATTCAAGGCGCTGGTGAACTTCATTCAATCGAAGGGCATCAAGATTAAGAGGATCTCTCACATGGAGGCTGGCGCGGACACTTCCGGTGCGGAAGCCGACCTGGTGGCCTCCTCCGGTGCCGTCGACGACGGCAGCAGTTCCGAGGACGACGACTTCATCGCCAAGGACGAAATGGAGCCCGATGAAGAG